AGCTGGGTACCTCGCTCAGGACCAGTAGGGGTCTCCTCTGAGGGAGACTAGGTGGCTTCTACCTCCTCTGGAAAATAGAACTGTGCTACGAGGGTTACAATAAAGCACCAAGTCCCACGATTGTGGTTTGTCTGGTTTCTTGTCAACAGGAAATGCGTACATCTGCACAGGCAGGTGAGGTCCACCTTTGTTTCAGTGGACACACAACCTCAGGCTGTCAGAAGCTGGCTAAAATGCTCTTGTGTCAGGTGGCATGGGTGCAGGCTCAGCGCCAAAGCTGCGTCTCCCGCTCGTCTCTTCCCTGCCCGGCCTCCCCTGGCCTCCTGTGGATGCGCACTGCAGGGACCGCTGACACTTGGCACGGCTGAGCAGCATGTGAGAGGTGCACCCGATGTGGACCAACACGTAACCCTGAGGACTCACCGCTGCTCATCCCTCCTGGAGTCACCCAGTGCTGGAAACCAGGCAGGTGACCCGGGCCAGGCTACCAATCTGAATGCCTCCAATGCAGCTCTCAAAGTAACCCCTTTCACAATTGAAGAGTAAAAAATGTATAAATATCAGTTATTACAGGTCAGGAGTCCTTCTCGAGGCCTCCAGGTCAATGCCTTCCACCTAGAATATCTGATTTTGAGAAGGGGAACTCAGTGCATTTCGTATATATTAACTAAGAGCCACAGCAGGGTCCGCTTCCAACTGCGAACAAGACATTTCTGCTGAGAAGCCCAGGAACATGTAGACAGATTTTGTTTCAAGCAAGTTCCAGAAAGTTGACTTTTCACAGTGTTTTGGATCTCAGAATTAGGGGCCTGTATTACTGCCTGAGATGTGTGGGGCTCTTTCTGTAAGCACAGGAAGCACCCTCCATTTCTACCAACTGGCAGCAACGCAAGTCTCTTACGAGTAAGACAGATGAGTGAGGGAGCCTCCCTGCGTGGAACAGCATCACTGCTGCTAAGAAAGAGGTGGCCAGGCAAGGGGCACACCCACCACGCATATGTACACGCACAGACATGTAAAAATCCAAGCACTGCATCCTCAGTCAATGTACTGTATTATATGAGCATTACTAGGTTTTATTTCCATTATGATAAAAAGTAGGTAAATCTGATATGGAATATTATCAAATATTTTGAAATGATGTATAGAAATGTGTTCAGGGTCAAAATCACTTGTATAAAATAGCTTTAAAAATTCTAAAAGCACTGGAAAAGCCCTGCCATAGTGACATGTATTCCACTGTAGAGCCTTCTGCACATCTTTAGATGTCTTTAACATGGAGTCTGTTTCCTAAAGAAAAAATGTTTACTGTCTGAGCCATTGAGACGGACCTGCAATTCTCCATTCTTTCTCCCTGAGCCATGGAAGAGCAGGAGTGCCTGATTCCAGTGGCACCAGAGTTGTGACCAGTTTGTGAAGGGGCCACATGGAGGTGAAATCATCAGATAAATGGTGCTTTTAAGACCGCTCAGGCTCGAAAGATCTGGATGCACAAAGGTGACTCCCAACCCAAACAGCCAGAGTGTAGATCAAGGTCAAGGAGGTGGATGCCGCAGCAGCAGGGCCAGCACAGGCTTTGTGTGAGTCTGGGAAGGACAGGTACGCATGTGTCCACCAGGGGTTCATCCCCAGCCCTGCTGTGCCTGGAACCCTGCTGGTGAACGCCATCACGACGCTGCCTGCCGCAATGCTCCTTATTTAACACTGGGCTTAGCCATAAGGGTCAGGTGAGTATTTTCTCAAGTTCTGAGCTGGCTGCTGAGCATTGGATCTACACAGGAAGCAAGCCAAGGCCCACCCTTCAGGAGTATTCCTTGTAGGAGGTGTGAGACAGAGGTAGGTGCCATGTGGCAACCCTTCCAGTGGTCGTGAGGGCTATCTTATATTAAATCATCAATTTCAGTTTCTATTTTTATTGAACAGATTACTCTGGGTATAGAGCAGAACAGACAGGGGGCAGGTGGAAGCAGTAAAGAGCAGTCAGGAGGTTGTGACACAGCCCAGGTGAAGGCGAAGGCCACGGTGGGTGGTAGCAGTGAAAACAGAATTAGGTTGTGCCCAAGAGGCCAAATCCACAGCATCTGCTGACAGGATGCGAGAGGAGGGAAGGGAAGGGGAGGAACCAAGGAAGAGCGCGGGGAAGCCTCTGGCTTGGGCAGCTGCAGGGGCAGAGGGCTGTGTGCAAGGCACTTTAACAGCAGAACCCTGTGAATTCAGATACATGACAAGACAGACAGGTATCCTACAAAAGAGGATAGGTACATGCAAAAGGAAGAAGTTAAATCTTCATCCTACACCACACGCAAAGCTAAAAGAATCAAAGTCTCAAAGACTGTAGTGCTTAGAAGGCAAAGTGGAAAAGCTGTGTGACAATAGATTTGGCAATAGTATCTTGGGTAAAACACTAAAAGCACAGGAACAAAAAGAAAACTGAATGTCACCAAAATTAAAATCTTTTCAAATGCCATTACCAAGAGTAAAAAGCCTACCCAAAGAATGGGAGAAAATATTTGAAAATCCTGTAACTGATAAAAATAGGTAGCACTCAGGAGGCTGAGGAAGGACGATTTGTTGCAAGTTTGAGGCCAGCCTAGTCTCTCTCTCTCTCTCTCTCTCTCACACACACACACTCACACACACACACACACACACACACACACACAAGATACAAAGAAAATACATGTCAGGAATAGTACTCTGCTATAAAAAAAACCTGAGGCATCTGTAGGAAAAAAATATACCTGCCTATACAATACTGAGTGAAATAAACAGACAAACAAGCTTCAATACTTTAGGGTCTCCCTGCTGGGCAAGGCAAAGTACAAACAAAGAAAATGATAAAGGATGGCTAGAAAGGAACAAAGAGTTAGATCTGGCCCAATGGGGAAGTGGTCCAAGGGACAAAGAAGAGGGGTGAGGAGGAGGGGGGTAAGGGGAAATGCCAGAAATAAAGATATGTCATCTTCAGGACCCTAATAACCTCATCAATATAAAAATAAGCTAAGACAAATAACATCAGCAAGTATGAAAAAGGTGACAGGGGACCTGGAGGAGGGAGGGGAGGGCAAGGAGACTAGGAAAAAAATAAAAACAAAAAACAAGCTGTAATATGCACATATAACATAACATGCACAAGATGACTGTAAACTGTGAATTACAAACATGTACTAATAAAAATATCTTTAAATATGTACGTGCATATGTAAAGAACTTCTAAAGTAACACAAACACTAACTTAATTCAAAAAAAGGGTAGGGACTTAAGACGTTCCTCCAAAGAGACACAAATGGCCAATAAGCACGTGCGCATCTGAAAAGAGGCCAAATATTCCTAATCACGTCAGAAATGCAAATCAAAACCACTGTAAGTTACACTACAACCTCACGCCCGTTAGGGTAAGTGTTGGCAAGGCTGTGAGGAAACTGGAGCCCCATGTACTGCCCAGCGGGACTGCACAACGGCACACATGGTGACTCCTCACAAAGGTAAAAACAGAATTCCTGTGCGATCCAGCAGGCCCACTTCGGGGTACACACTCTGAAGAGCTAAAAGCACGGACAGGATCAGGTACGGGCCTACCACATTCCCAGCATTACTCACAATAGCCAAAACGTGGGAGCAGCTGCATCTAAGGCAAACGAATGAATAAACAAGACGTAGGAGACACTGGAATATTACTCGGCCTTAGAAAGCTAATCCTGACACACACCACACCAATGAACCTTGACATTATGCTAAGCAAAATAAACCAAATCAAAGGACAAACATGGCCTGAATCCACACATGAGGTATTTATGAAAGTTAACACAGACAAGATATACAATGAGGCTGCCAGAGATTTAGAAGGAAGAAAAAGAGGAGCTAGTGTTTAAAGAGTCCAGCGTTTCAGTGTGGTACAAAGAAAAAGTGCTTGTGATGAATGGATGGTGCCTGTGTTTACACAACACTGCGCAGGCACTCCGCCCCACACTTTACGGTGGTTACAATGCTAAGTTTTATGTGTATTTCCCACAGAAAGAAAAGCAAAGATTTAAAGGTGGCTTGTGACCGTCTCGCAGACTGGTGAGGACACATTAAGTCTGCCCTTTGTGAGGATGAGCGAGACAGCACATGCCAGAGATGGCCGTGCTCAGGGCCTCGCCTCATTCTGAGCCCGCCTCATGCCTACACACCCGCAACACAAAATATCCCGTCTCGTCTGGATTTTTTTCACACACAGTCTGATCTGCAAAACCACACCTGAGGCCTGACTGTGTTAGTGACTGCCAGCCTTGGGAGTCATCGAAGAGAATCGCTGCTTGTCTCCGGAGGGGCAAAGGGTCAACAGTGGCAAGAAGGGGTGGCGGCACCAAGGTCAGCCTCAACTGTCGGTGGGCTGAGCAACGACACAGGCACTTACCCGAAGTCCTTAGGTCTCAAATAGACGTACTTTTCTTTACAGCAGTCAGAGGTGGAGAAAAGGAAGTGATTCATTTAAATTTGTAAAAAAAAACTAAAACTTTTCTCATTCTAAAATACTTTTGCCTACCATCTTCCTAGAGCAAAGTGATTCCTCTTACCATTCAGCTTACTTACGAAAAGGCTGGATCAAAAGCTTGAAATAACAGAATTCTTTCTTAACCAATAGTGCTGGAAATGTGTCTTAAACACCTGAAGCAGAACACTGTCCACTCCACTTCAGAAAAACCAAATTCATGGAAGGAATGTGTCAAATATATCACAAATAATCCAAGACCTGGGACACATCAATCCATTATGATAGAACTGCAGGAAAACACACTGGTATTATTTAAAGACCAGGTGTTTAAAAAGATAATTGCACCCATTCAATTCTGCAGGGGAATGTGAAGCAAAACTTATAAATGGGATTTTTTATCATAGTAAAACATGCATTTTCATATGATTCACCATGGAATTAAAACACTGTAAAAATCATTTACATGTTGTCACCCACTTCAATTAAGCCAAAACAGAAAGGAAAAAGATAAAAGAACACAAAGTGAACAGACCATAACTTTATTGAAGATTTACTTGGCTACAATTATTACAAAAAAAAAAAAAAAGGAAAAAAGAAAGAAAAGAAAGAAAACAACTAAAGGTAACTGTGATCTGTAAGGTGCAGTCTGCAAATTTCTGCAGCACAATTACTGTGGATGAACTACACAACGCTCCTTGAAAGACAGTTGCAGCATGTGATGGTAAATATTTTATTGTCAATGAAATTGTTAGTTTTACTTGATTTTAGTTATTTTCTTCACTCCATTTACAGCAGCAAAGGCAATAACCTTCTTCCTGTTCACCTTTGCATTTTTGTTATGTAACCTGCTGCTGCAGTGAATTGAGTGCCTCTATAAAATTTAAACCGTCTGTAGTTGATGTCCAAATAAAAATGGACCAGAAAAAACAAACAAGTAATGATTAAAATACACTTACAAGTTAGTTCTGAAAGATCATTTTCACTGCTAGTAGACAACATAATGGTCTCAACACAAATTCCCTAGATACTGCTACTGGTGCCTCCAACAACTTTTAAAATCATTTCACTATTCTTGGTCTTAACGCTTTTATCTTTAAAATTTCTCATTACAATATAAAATAAAGAAATTTATTTGGAAATAACTAAATTCCAGAAAGACAATCAGTGGCTGTAAAAATATACCTATTTAGATGCAATTAAAAGAACCACACAGATAATAACACATGGCGTGAGTTTCTCCTCCAGACAACGCAAACTAGTTCAAGAATCAAACAGTTCTAAATGCAGATAAACCAAGATGCCACAGTCAGTTTGCTGTCTTAAATTCTGTATAAAAGGATTAGATCCCCAAACCAAGCAAAATATGAAGTTCTGAATCACTGGGCCATCAGAGTGAGCTGCGGTGGGCCCAGGTTTCCATTCTTCTCTGTAGTCTGCAGCCACGGACTGACTCCAGGTGATGGCTGCAGAGCTGACTGCCGGGTGAAGAGCTGTACTTATGAACTGAACCAACACAACCAAAGTAGTCTCAAGTCTCTTGCTGTTTAGTCAGAGATATCTGAATCTTTCTGAGGGTAAGCTATCATTAAGGAAGCAAAAATATCAGTATTTTAAAGGATAATTACATGAGTATTAAGGGTCATTGTAAATTTAATCATTTCACATAACTGCAAAAATAACAAACATTTTAAAAACATAATTAAGAGTTAACAAATCTTTGCCATACTTTCACAAATAGAAACAATGCCACGAACGAAAATGACCTATTTAAGTTGTGCAAGTATATGACACATTGCAGACATTATAATTATCTTTTTCAAATTCGGTAAATCAGAACAGCAGCAAGGCCAAACCACATTTTTTCCTCTCAGTTAAGCACATTTTCCTTGAAATGAGGTAAAGCATGGTACCAAGTGCAATGCTTATCTGTGCTACATGAACAGAACGGCGGGGGGCAGGGAGCTATTCAAAATGCAGCATAGTTAGGACTGCAGAGTCTTTTATAAAAGAAATAAAAACATTTACAATGCAAGTCATGCCCACTGACCTGTACACAATCATCACAAGGGATTTCTGCAGCTGTTTTCCGAAGCTGCACCTTGCCAGTCCGTTACACATGTGCTGGGCACAGCCACACCCACCAGCCTTTCCACACTACATTCTGTCTCACACTGCGATCACAGAGGCAAAAGGATGTGCACATGGTTGCAAAGTGGGGTAACAGAAAGCGACATCTTTCTTAGTGACAAACGCAAAATATCTCAACAAACTAAGCTGGGGAAAACCTGACAGCATTAAAATGCAGCAGCACAAAAGCATCCATAACCATTTCATGTATAACTCATACATTTTATTTTTCTAACTGAGCCACCAGGGGAATCACAGAATGGTTCAAACTGTTAAAATCAGCTATTTTTCTCAAAAAAAAAAAAAAAAAAAAAAGAGAAGAAGAAAGAGCAAGCTAATGTTTGCCGTCGATAAGACATTTTGAATGGTAGCAGGAAATTTGAACCCCTGAGAATATATGACCTAATCATATCCAAGTCTAAACTTTTTAGTATTAACACAAAATATTCTTCTTAAAGGTTATAAAATATATTTTCTCCCACCGGGAATCATAATTGTGAAACAATCTGATTTTGGCGCCAAGAGGCAAGAGAATCCCGTAACACCGGAATATATGCATTACACACAATGCAAAGCCCTAAGCTCCTGGCATCAGGTAGTTTATAAATTAAGAGATCTGTGATATGATCACAAATCACCCTCACAAATAAAACTCTTATCCAGCCTTATTTGTTAACTGTGTATAGTTATATAATTCAAGAATTGCTTGGTTTCAACTTGCCATATTTCATAGTTTTTTAAAAATCAAATAGACATCTAAAGTTCCAAATCAGAATTAAATATTTTTAAAGCAAATCACCTACATTCATTTGCTTAAAAACTCATTTAATAATTTAGATCTCAATTTAAGTTTAAGATCAGAGACAACAAATAACATTGGAGAAGTTCAATACTCCCTTCACCCAAGGTTCCTTAGAAAGCAGAGCTGACAGTTTCTCTGTGTGGACACAGGCATTTCTCTGTGGGTGGATGGTGCAGGAAAAATCAATTGTAATTTAAAACGTAAATACAGCATTACATGAAGCATCAACTTCAGAACAACATGCTAGAAAATGAGACCTCTGCTCAGCTTTCTTAAACTTCAAGCATAATTAATGGGGCAAATTGCAGCAAACCTCTACTGGTATGTCGAAGGGAGTGCAAGACTGACCCACAGCTTTTGAAAAGGTAAATTAAGAGGTATTATAGTTACAGTGCAAAAAAAAATTAAAATTTCAAGCATAATACATAAACATAGCACCAACAGGGGAAAAATGCATGCAAAAGAAAAGAACTGAGGTATTTAAGTGAAGAGTGCCTACAAGTCTAATTAAAGAAACTTAGGCAAATGCCTAAAAGTGTTGAGTTTTTTTCCTTTTTCCCAAGATGGAAATAATGAGCTAGTTTATCTAAATTAATGACTTAAATCACAGATGTATCAAAATTATGGCAGTTTATCGCAAATTTCGTTAAACTTCCATGGCATTAACAGCACAGCTTTGGTAGGTGAAATATGCATGCAACATTTGAAAAGCACAGTAAGAAATTTGTGAGAAGACTAAGTAAAGGTGCTCTGTTTGCTTCTTTAAGTAAGTAACCAATCAACTATAAAATCTGCAGCATATTTTAGGTGTGATATGTCTAAGGTTTATCTTGTTATAACAGCCTACGTGGCAAAATTATTTGCCACAAACATTTCCACCAGTGGAACTACCTAGCAGGAGGTTTTGGGGTTTTTCTGTTCTTTTTTTTTTTTTTTTTTTTTTTTTTTTTTTTTTTTTTATTACCAAAATTGAGTATTTAGCCAAAGATCCTTTTTATTATCATGTTTACGAAAATCCATAGACTACATATTCTGATTTTTCAAATGTCTTCAGTACACACATGACAGAAATGCTAGTATAATCTTGTAATAATTTAAGGTACAACTATACTAGTGAGCTGTAGTAATCACTCTGTCTCAACATCTAATGCATGATAAAATTAAGGGAATATAAAATACTTTGTTCCAACAGGTCAGAAATTAAAATACCCATGAAGACTTTACTTTTAAGGCAAGAACCTGTGTTATGTGGGACTATGTGGTATCAGAAAATTCAAATTTATTTACCAACATGCCAGCCAATGCCAAATAAAAATCTATCCCTTACTAGGAAGTGCAACAGTGACCAGGAACATCCTCACACAGGGTAACATGAAAAGAAGACAACACTGGCAAACACCTCCTGCAAACCGTCTCCTTCTATGGGGCTCACCGACTATCACAGGACTGGCACTATCGCACAAATGGAGGGGTGCTCAGAGGACTCTCCAAATCTAGGGGCTGTTTGAAGTTTAAGCTCCATGGCATTCTAACACTAAGCAAAGCAGACAGAAATTAAACACACACACAAAAAGAACAAAATGAAAACTGTCGATAATTATTCTGCCCATTTCCTAAAATGTCATTAAAGCACTCTTGTGATTTAAACAAAGCAGAAGTGAAGAAAGAAGACAAGATTGTGTTTGCGCAAAAACTAAAACTACAATTAGTTCCAAAAATTTTATACATACGTTAAATGTTTTATTCTGTCATCTATTATGTTATCAAACAAATTTTAAATTCTGCCTTCAATTCATTCTGGTCAATATCAATTTTAAATCATCCTTTTGATTTAAATATTTCCCCTTAATTCTGTTTTATTGTGGGGGGTGTTTGCTGTTAAAAGGGGGCTTCAGCTGTTGGGAACCTGAGGTTGATTAGCTTTGAGGCTTCGCAGGGCTCTTCGTGCTGCTGCAGATTTGGCAATCCTGTAACTTCGGCCAACGCCTTTAAATTTCCCCTTCCCTACTACTTCCACGGTGACTCTGACCTTCCCATCATAAGTTCTCTCAGCCGGGCTATAAAAAATCCAAACAGCTTGAATTAGAAGTCAGCAGTATTTATTATTATCGTCGGCCTGCATTCTGCATACACTCTCAGGCCGAGGCGAGATCCTGGGTACAAACAGGCCCCGAACAAAGGAAATGTATACCAGGACTCATGCACACCACAACAGACAGGCCGCTGGACTCCCTTAATTCAGCTTTGCTTTGTAAAACAAAAGGGAAAAAGGGCCTGCAGACTAAGAATGTTGCAGTGTAAATATTTTCAGAACCAGTAGTTTATAGTATCTTTGAGAACTGTGTGTTTTCACGCACAGATTTTGCTTACCTAAATTTGGCAGTTTCTGGTTCCATTTCGAGCAATTCTCGCACAGGGGAACGGGGCACGTTAGCAGAAAACTTTTCTGTAATCAAGATGAAATAATAATATGAATAATATTCTCAAAATATGTTTCAACTTTGTTTTTGTTTCTTTTGAAAAAGAGCCAACAATACCTATCAGTGGCCTCATCATAGGGTAGTACACCTGCCAAACCATCTCCAGCGACATCCCACTGTCCATATAAATGGCACCAGCAAGGGACTCAAAAATATCCCCCATGGCCTTTGGAACTTCAATGTCCTCTTCCTTCTCTTCATCCTCCTCGGATCTCCTAAGCTATTACAGAGAAGAGTGAGCAGAAAGGCCATGTTTTATTAAAGACATGCTTTCTTACATATAACTTTTATTATTTATACAACAAGGGTAACAATCTGAACCATTTATGGCATGACTACTACACTGTAATAGGTTTTTCCACAAACATCATTTTATCTTTAAAAAAAGAAGAAAAAAAGCTTCGCACTCCATTTAGTATTTCATACCTAGCAAAGGAAAAAAATTACTTCGAAATTAGAACAAAAACATGTTCAATATAGAATTAGAAATAAAAGTAGCCAATAAATGCATGGGGGAACAATTCTCTCACATTCACTCAGAAGCAAAGAACTGCACATTCCAACAGCCCTCACCCCAGCCGCCTGGCGAGGCTGGCCAGGGTGCCCCTCAGGACAGAGCTGGCCAGGCTCACACTGCTCTCGCAGCAAAGAAATTCCTTCTGTGAGGTTCCCCTCCAGGCTCGCTTTTCATTAAACCACTTAATACAAGTTCACTACGACAGAGTATCTAACACATAGTGGGTACTGTATTCAGATTAACAGAATAAAATTTATGTAACAAAAGTCTTTTGAAAGTTTTTAATTCTCTGATGCAGCAATTCGTCTCCATGAAGTTACCTTTTAAAAAGTAACTGGATATATAAGCATAAACATCACACCCGTGTTAAGTACAAGTCCTAATTAAAAGTCATAAAGGACTATTTAAACAACTTAGTCATATACTAAGCAACATGTAACTACTTAAAATCTTAATGCCAAGCAATACATGGAAAGTCACACTAAGTAAAAAGAAAATTCACTACACATATATAATTCTTTTTTATACTTTGTTTATCCACACATATAGTAGCAACGATGCATCCCAAAATGTTGATATTCACAGTAGTATAACTAGATAACTTCAATTAATTTTTAACTCATATTTTCTAATTTTTCTAATACAAACACAATTTGTGAGATTTAAAGATATTCCCAAAAATAGAGAAAAATATTAATTGGTAATGAACTGTTAAGCCTCACAATATTCTATGATTTTTAATTAGAAAAAAATTTAAAATTTACTAAGCTTAATTCTATTTACAGCTGAGACTCAAAGATAAAGACTGCAGATCAAGCACAAAGTTAGAAAAATCAGTAACTTTGTGTAATTTCCACACATGTTTATATAAACACAGGGAAACAACGCAACAAAAACTAAAATCTAATTTTAGTGAATTCCTCAAATTTAGAGCTTAACTGTTTCCTAAAACAGCTGAGGAATGAGCTGTAACCCTGCTGGGGTGGCCTGCCTGGAGGGGAGGGGAGCCCTGCCTGCCAGCTTGTGCTCCACACATCTGTGCAGCTCGCAGCACCTCACTCTTTGCCAGGTGACCAGGCCTCAGAACCCAGCCCAGCAGTGGCAAGCCTATGGCACACATGCCACAGTGGGCTGTTTACTATCACTGAAAGCTCTAGAGGGTTCACAACACTGACTTAGTCTCATTTTTTCTCACAAAAAGCCAAAGAAATTCATAATTCTCTAACAATGGAATGGGACAATTTTAAAAAAGAGAGATGGTACTAATTAAAGTGAGAACAAGAGAAGTAACTACAGGGCTGGGTATTTAGCTCAGTGGCATAAGTGCCTGCTTGACAAACGCAAGGTCGTGAATTTGATCCCCAGCACCAAAAAAAAAAAACAAAAACAAAAACAAGAAAGTAACTACAGAGTTAAGAATGCATTCCTGGACTCTATAAGAAATCTACCAAAAGAAGGAAATGAAAGGCATTACAATGGGCAGAGTCAGAAATCTGATTGCTCTCCTGGGTCCGCAGGTACGCAGATGACTGCTACCGAGGGTGGGGAGAGACTGGCAAGCCTGGGGCAGGACCCTTTCCTACAGAAACTCATAGCACACTATGTACACACTGGAATTAGCTCCACCACCAAAGAACCTTTGGCTGAACTTTCAGTAAATGCCTCCCAAATTCCAATGGTTAAAAATTTAGAAGTTTGGTTTCTAAATAAGATTTTCCTGTTTCAAGTAAAGCAGAATGTGTACTAGTGACGCTTACCTGAGATATTAGGTAATATTTATTCCATTTAAAAAAGAAAGAGAAAAAGCTACACCAACTTTGACTAAGTCTGGGCTTGGAAGGAGGGCACCATGGACGGGTCTGGGCTGGAAGCCCCGTGAGAGCCCTGGCTCCTCCCCCTCAGCTGAGGCAAAGGCACTCTCTGTGGCCTCCCCAGCACTGAGGTCGGCCTTGCCGCTCTCCCCAGGGTGTGCAGCATCAGGGTTTGAGGCCCTGACTGTCAGATGTTTAGCTATGAAATCAGAGCACAAACTACTGTGGTCCTGCTTAGATGGCTTTCTTCGACCCTGAATTCGGGGTAGTTTTAAACAGCTCTAACCTCAGAATCCATCCCTTGCATCTCGTTCTTCTCAAGCTGAAACTGCACAAAGTCATCAATGACGTGGAAGAGCTCAGGAGAAACAGCTTTAAAGTACTTGTGGTAGTCATACTTCACAGCCAGGGACGCGAAGATGGTGTTGTTGACCAGAGCAGAGCGCAGGTCGGTCAGGACCCCCGGCGAGTGCTGCCGCGGGTCTTCATAAAGGTGCTTGGTTATGAGGTAGTCCAAGATTGCATCTCCCAGGAATTCTAAGCGCTGGTAACAATCTGCACAGGAATCCAAAACAGAACCAGCCTGGGCACCAATACTTACACACTTTTCATACATGAAATGGATGGAGAGTTCTGATGCCAGGGCCGTTTTAAAGTTTTCTACCTAGGTCATTTTCACCCATCTTCCTCAATGAGAAAATGATTTGACATATCACACTTATTAAAGGCTCTACAAATTAAATTTTAATGGCAATTTAAAGCCACTGTCTCGAGGCCATAAAATGAACAGTGACCAAAAGACTGTTTGTTAAGAAAAAAGGCCTCAGCCAGGTGCTGCCGCTGCCCCAAGTGTCACGCTCTTCTCTGTGCTGCGACCACAACTCCTCAGTGACACTCTGGGACGTGCAGCCCCGAGTTGCATGTGTTACAGGGATGACCCGAGGAAAAGGCCACCCTCTTCTCACCCTGAACTAGAAACGCTGACTCTGACGCAACCGAGAAGCTGAGGAAAAGCAGCTGAGGAACTCTGCACAGCTGGAGCCAAAAATGGTTGTCAAAACATGCGCTAGCAGTGCTAACCATCATCACCTATTTTTTCAGTCACTAAAGGACTCTTTCTGCTGAGGAAACTGAGGCAGGGAAAATGTGACTTTCCCAGATTCTCACACCACTCACTGAGTTAGAGGCAAGGGCTGCACCTGGCCAGAACCCAGGCCTCCCAGCTCGCAGGAGGGGACCTTGCTTTGATATTTCACATTTAAGTACTTACTACTCTTGTACAGAAAACAAAATATAAACTTCATCTGTGTTTAAGGCTAATTTTTATTTTGGAGACTTATTCTCCTTCTACTCTGAAGAGATTAAAGGCCTATTAAGTAAGGTAGGAGAAAGCTCACAGCACAGTAAAAAGCAGATGACAGCAGAGTCCGTAAGAACACAATGAAACTTTCCGATGAGATGGTTTTTTTAATCTTATCATCTTTAGATATGACAAGACCCTGAGTAAAGATCTTTTTTGTCCAGAACAATAAAAAGGTATATAGACACATGCAGAATATATGAAAATATCAAAAACCAAAAGCAGCACCAAACAGGCATCAGAAAGGTATTTGGCTAGGAATAGACAGGAAAACACTGCAAAGTCCTAAAGGCTCAAACTTCTCTAAACTATGCAGCATATACAATGATATTTACACAGGTAAACAAGATCACTGTACTCCCAACTGTCAAAGTTACAAAACAGTTACTGCTCCTAAAAAACATGAAAAAAATAGGTATGTTTTTTCTTGCTTCCTCCTACGACCACACACAGCAAGCATTAAGACTGCACATGCACAGCACCTTCCCTTACAAAGGCTCGTAACGCAGCCACCGCAGTCTCCGCCTCGGGACAGGAGGACGGCTGGGGCTCCTTACCAGTGATAGTGTTGTAGTGGTAGGAGGCATGGGTGAAAGCCTGCAGAAGGTAAGCCTTATTCTTAAATCTGTAGTTGATTTTCTTCTCAAAATTTTCAAACCCTGATATCAGGTGAGTCAGGGTTTTATCTGCGTCTGGATGGTCAAACATACACCTGGGTGGGATCTTCAAACAGCCGTACTCCAAGTCTTTGCATGCAGAGGAGCGCGAGCCGGCTGCAGCGGCGGAGGCACAGCTCCCTGAAAGGCTCTTTTGTTGGCTGCTGAAATTCTCCCGAGCAGGGCACAGGGCCTTTTCCCGGCCAGTCCTTTTAATTACCGGGAGCACCTTCAGCCCCAGTGAACAGAGGAAAAGCTGAGCGGCCCTCTCACCACAGCTGGTTAAATAGCAGCCCAGCAGGGCTTCCACACAGTCCGCTATGCTTTTGTCAGCAATGCACTGCTCGGTGTGCAGGTCGTAAGAAATGGACTGTTTTCCTGTGTCAACACCACAGTTTTCTTCTGATGGATTCCAGAAGCCCACCACAAAGTCATCCTCTTCAACAGCTTTGCTAGGATCCAGATAGCACATTGCATCCCAAGAGCTGTAGTCGAAATCCTCAAAGTCTGATGAAAATGGCATACTACCTAAGGAAGATTTTTTGGGCATTTTCCATTCATACGCAGAATCAGTGGTCGAAAAGGGAGAAAGAGAAATTTTCTTTACAAAAGCTCCTGATCCCATTAACATGTTATCTATAAACTTGATATGTTCCTGATCGTACTCCAGGAAATCGTCTTCGTACTCGGCTTCCTCCTTTGGTGCCCTCCACATCAAATCCTCTTCCTCCTCCTCCTCCTCCTCCTCCTCCTCCTCCTCCTCCTCATAGTCATCGTCCAGTTTGCCATTAGCTAACATGCAGTCTTTTGTCTGAAACAGGGAATGGGGAAGGAGGAGAGACATAGCTGCTGTTTTTAAAAGGGACTGAAACTCAATAAAAGCAAGGGTTATGGATAATTTCAAATGACAACCACAAATACTGAAAGGCAACTTTAAAATCATGACCATTTGTTTCCAATTAACATAAAATAAGTTATTTAATCATATAAACAAAGTAAAACATGCTCTTTGAATGTTCATTTTCTAAGTTATAAAATGACTTTTATTATCCAGCACGGAACTTCAAGTTAGGTATTTTGAACATGGATATAAAGTTAAACAATGTCTATGACGTGAAACCTCAAGTAAGAAGCCTAACTCTGGCAGGACCCACAGTGAAGGCACTCACACTGTCACACAGATATTCCATTTGGCTGATGAAGATTCTAAAACATGGTGACCTGATTGTCAAATTAATAAAATGAAGTTCCAGATTTAGAAAAAAGCATTATCTTTTTAATTAAGGGCATAATCCAAAAACAGGAAGTATTCATACCCAAAACAAAATAAAACCCAACATGGTTTGATAATAAAAGTTTTTCTCCCTACTTCCACTTCAAATTAAAGTATGTTTGCTACAACATAGAACTAAATTGTTTTGCTTAAAAATAAATATAGCCACTAGCATAAGCTATGAATGAGAAATTATGCTCTTCCCTTCCATAATGAGCTATAATAATCAGGGCAACAGATTACAGCATAACTGACAAAAATAGAAGAAAATTTAGCCTAACACGAAACACTACAATGCAATTTCTGTCAAAAGATCTTTCCTAATTCCAATTTCTTTGGCAAAAGCTTATTTGTGAATGACAACCTTAATAACAGACTAGGCTTCAGTACTGATATAACCTTTTGCAATGCTAGAAAGATGCCAAATTTCTGTTATTCAATAAAAAAAACCTCCAATAACAACAAAAATACCACTTTGGGGGAAGAGACAAAAGGGCATGCTTCAACTTTGTAACAACTTTGCACAGAATTCTGACAAAACATTTTCAAACTGTCTGCCAAGCTTTTTTCTAAGTAGAGAACGTATTTAATTTTAAACCAGACTCAGAGTCTGTATTTGTTTGTAAAGAAACAACTGTAGTAATGCAAGCCACACATTTATAACAACACATCTTCTAAAGTGTTAAAGGTGGGGGAAAAAACTGGCTCTGCAAAGTGAGTGTGGGCCAGGTAACAGTAGGGGGAAAAAATTTAAAATATACACCCTACAGCATATGATGGGCTATCATGAAGAGACACAATAGCCCGTCTTTCAAACTTTGAGATCAAAAATATTTTTTTTGAAGAATAAAGAATACCAAAAAAAAATTACAGCGGCAGACTTTATGCAACTATTTCTTGTTAAAATCCCACATTTTTTTTTCAAGATAATAGAAGATGGTTTTAGCTAGTATTTATTTGGTCCTTAAGAGGCAAATTACATTTTAAAAAGCCAGAGTGAATAATTTAAGAATTAACCCTTTATTTCTTCAGTAAGATGGTGCTATAAAATTGGCAGTGCACAACAACACCAAGAACTGCTTTTTATCACAAACAGCAGATCCTGGTGAACTCCTTTAATGCCTCTAGGTTTGAAATTTCTTTATCTGCAAAACAGCATGGTTTGGGGCTGGGAATTTAGCTCAGCAGCATAAACACCTGCCTTGCAAGCCTGTGGTCGTGAGTTCAATCCCTGGTACCGGTAAAAATACAAAACAAACAAACAAACAAAAAAAACCCCAGCATGGTTCTACCTCATGACATGTTCTCCAAAAACACCTCAAGCCTTTTAAGAAAAAAAAAAAAAAAACCAGAGTGCAACCTTTTTTTCACAAAGCAAGTGGCCTTTCCACAGACAGAAGTTAACACCACTCTCCTTCTGAGGGAGGCATTCTTTCGGCCAAAGTGTTATCTACACCTATTTACTGAGGACCAGGCTGAAAGTGGTTAGAACAGGAAAAACAGAAATGGAAAACACACTATAGCTTCCCAACACAATGCAAGAATTTCAAAACACTCAAATCAGTGAATCAAAGTCTGAATAGTAATTTTAATTCATTCCAAGAATCAAAGTCCCAAGTCATCACAGACATAAAGGAAAATAAGGACTTGACATTTTATCTTAAAAAAAAAAAAAAACCTGACATGTCGACGTACCTTTATGCTGCAATTTTTCAGTCTAATATATCATGAAGCAGTAAGTATAAAGGACAACTGTTGCTGGGATTTTTTTATAGAAATGCAAAGTTTTTCTAAAACTTAAAACTTACTTTCTACTAAAGTTTTATCAATTTATAAATTAATGACAAAATGTAATTTGACTTAATAATTAAAACATTCTCTTAATATCTTTGCATGTAAGTTCCATTTTTACAACAAGCCAAACAGTATGAGTTTAAAATGTGCTCAACAAATAAATACTTAGAACATCTAGATCTACATGTCAAAAAAGAAGGTAGGAAGAGTATGCTGTTTACAACATACAAGCTGTGGGGAAAACGGTGTCACTGCTGTCACCCTAAAGTAAAAATGTTTTGTCAGAATACTCTTTCAGTTGTTACAACACAAGCCAACTTATCATTAATGTAAAATCAATGCGGGAGGCGAAGCTGCCTGGAAGCCGCAGGCCGAGAGGAGCCTACTCGGGAAGAGGCGCGGGAGTCCGGCCGCCCGCTGGGTGGCAGCGTCTGCAGAGCAGAGGCCCCGCTGCCCTCTGCTGGCCTTAGGGCCAGACAAAGGGAGGCAGCTGGTGCTAACATGGAGTTTTCTGAAATCACTGGCAAGACTGAAATGACTTCCGCAAGACCACCACCTTCAGGTACGATGATTTTTTTTTTTTTTTTTTCATTTTGCAAGAGGAGAAATAGTCCTGAGGAGACTGTGAACTAGTTTTACTGAAATTAATTACTTCAGACACAGCTCAGAGATTATCGGTCACTGGAAAGTCACTGCATTGCACAGAGATAAGGATCTATGGTAACTCTAATACCCAACAGTAAAGCGAAACTTAAAGGGTTTGTGTTTTTCTAATCTTTGGGGGTTTTTTTTTCCAAGTGAAAATATAAAATTTTCTGCCTTTAGAAAAGGAAAATAAAAACAGAAACTGACGTCTTTCAAAACTATATTATAGTACTTCTAAATTCGCAGAGGACAGTTTATTTAAAGGAATTAATTTACTATATCAAATATCTACTCTACTGAACCTATTTATAGATGCCATGGGAAGAAAACAAAAAACAGAACAAAATTCTCCCACTCACCAGAAACTAAATACCTCCCGGTTACCAACAACTTACCATTCCATCTTTTTCCCATTTATCAGTGTTACTTTTGTCTTGATTTACCACATAACCAGGAGGAAGCCAATTCACAGGGGGATCAAATATTGACACCACCATGCGGCTGGGCAGTCCCTTCTTTTTGCCAAGGCGATACAGATTACAGTTGCTGACCTTTGGCAGAAAAGATTCATTAAACACACCCATCAACAATCACTGCCAGAAACCCTACGAGGCACATTAACATACTTTAGGCAAAATGTCCCACATTGTTGTCATGTCTGTTTCACCACACAGTTTTCCTACCTACTTACAACAAGAAAAGAATTTTGGACTCCCAAGTATTCTCCATCCTTTAGCGTGAATGTTTCTGAATATAAAATGCAATCCACAAGAATCAATGTATTTAATTATGCAAACTTATGAATAAATCAAAAGAAAGTTTAATTTCAAAGTTTTAAAAATACATCTTGATATAAAATGCACAGTGCTAACTGGACCAGAGTACAAAAGCATAGATCAAAAAATTCAAGCTATGACAATGTCCTCAATGAATTAAGTGGAAAAATGTCATCAACTATGGTTACAAAGTGGAAATTGTCCCTGCATAGAGCTAAAACCATTTCATATTCCTAGAATCTAAGACACAGATGTGACCTCAACTGTAGCATTTTCTTAAATACTATTCCTTTGTTTTGGATAGCATTTTGAAGCATTTTTGTTCAATCATTTTAAAATGGAGCAAAAGGTAATAACATTTGCTTATTCACGTCAATGAAACAGCTTTACAGTCCACCCTCTGGCCTATCTGCTTTCCCTAATGCCTCTCTCTTTCTTAATTTGCTCAACTCCATTGCATATTTGCCTAGTTTTTACTTGAAGATTAGGGTAGAACTGTTGGTGACATTTCCATTTTCTAAATCTTTGCTAGTGAAATGTTTCATGAGCTCTTTTCTACGTAATTCATCTGCTACTTAGCAAGTGCCCACTGATGAGGTAGCCAGGCAGTCCTGAGGGGACCAAGCTGCAGTCCTTGCAAAGCACACAGACCTGCAGTGGAAAGGTTACTTGTGCATGGAAGCACTTTGCCCAGCCTAAAACACAACTGCTCAAATCGATGCAAGTCCCCTGGTCCACACTAAGGGAATAAAGCAGTGCAAAAGATGTGTGCAATGGGGACTCGAAGGAAGGAAAAGCACGTTCAAAGCTGGGCTGGCGAGGAGAAGGAAAAGGACTCAGACAGAAGCAAAACTGAGGACAGGCAGAACGCGACAGGTGGCCACAGGAGAGGAGAGGAGGACACTCCCCGAGAGGAGGCTGATCAGCTCAGGCAGGACCGGGAGGTGACTGTGGGCTCTAAGGACCAGCAGTGAGCTGCGGCCTGTCGGGACCTGCCTGGGGGTGTGTTGGCCAGCATAATGCTGGTGTCCTTTCCTCAGGAAATCATGAGTCAAAGGATTCTACGCAGATGAGTAATGTATGAATGGTTACAACATAGAAACAATCCCTTTCTTACTTAATAAAGTACACTATTTACTTCACACTGACTCTCAGGCCCCAGTATCTTCTGTCTGCAACCACACCTTGAAAATTTTACTTGCCCTCAGTGCTTTAACTCTCACTCTTATGATCACTACACTCCAAAATGTATCTGAGTCCTACATTCTCAATTATCTAAACATTACCACTGCGTGGTAAGGTTCAACACACCCAATTCTAACCAACTTCCCACAGCTCCCCCTACCCACCCACCAACCACTGCCACTGTGGCCAGATTCCCAGCCTCTCCAGTTATTAACTGGGCACCACCAGGCTGTCGAAAGCACCCGGGGGAAGCAGCACAAGATGGGGGCAGTGGAGTTGCCCCTGTTCTCAGATACACTATCCTGGCTCAATGGGGTGATACACAAGCTAATCAGGCTCTCTAGGGATCAGTTTCCTCATCTGCAAAGCTGGAACATTGTTAGCTGCCTCTCAGAGGATGGTGGACAAGATTATGCAAGATAACATTCCTAAAATGCTCAGCCATTTCCACTCTCCAGCCACCAGCACCTTTAGCAACGAGCGAGCTAACCTGCCCTGCCATTCCATCTGCTCCGTGCGGCTCTGTACTGTAAACTTACCTCTTGCACTAATGCCTTCCTTTTCTCACAAGTGAGAGTCCTCTCTTCGGAGCAGTTTTGTAAGATTTTTAAGTTATTTGCCAAGGAGGCTCATGCTGCCTTGCGATACCTGTTTTATCATCATTTAAATATTTTACCATAACCATTTCCTTCCACTTTAAGAACATGTCCTTCTTTGGGCCTATTCTTCAGAACTCTAACATCACACGTCTGTACACTGGCATTAGCTGAGTTCCGTGAAGCCTTTCCTTTCCGCCTGCCTACTCCCTGGTACTCTGCAAAGCAGCTCCTCCAAGGAAGACGGCGTCTTACATGTGGACAACTGTGTGCCAAAATGCACCCTTCCATGCAAAGGTTTAATCCTCCTGTGTTAGAGCATAAGCCCCCTGAATAACTGCAACACCATTTATTTCCATCCCTCTCAGGACCTAGGAGGTGTAACACTTGCACAAATAGGCATCCATAAGGTCAACTTCTTTAATAAATAAGGCACACAGAGATGAGCTAAGTTCTAACCTGAGTGCTCACCAGCATAAAGCATTCATGTTATCTGTGGGCTGGTCCTCAATGGGCTTCAGGTGGCCCTGGCGGAACAGTGGAGCAGTCACTGGGGAACACTTCCCATTCTCTGAGGTTCCTCAACACTTCAAACCACTCTCAGGCACAATGAAGAATTATCTGCTCAAAATAAGAAATCACAGCTTACCTTTTTGCTTCTCATATATGAAAGGCGGCCCTCATGAGCGTCAGGGTAAGTGCAAAATAGATATGTGGTGATGGCATGCTTTAAAAAGGAGTCACCAAGCATTTCAAGCCGCTCCAGATTAAACCCATCGCTAGCATTGGACAAAGTCAAAGCCTGAAGAATCAGTCCGGGATTGGGGCCAAGAGTCCTTGAGGAGTACCCAAGAGAAGAGCTCCGCTCCGAATCCATCCTGTCCTTGAGCACTTGGATCGCATCTGTCGTACCGGGAATGGCAGCCATCACGGGACTTCCATCTGAGGTAGATGTGTTAGCATTTCCATCAAGGTATTTATTACTCAGTAGAGTACATTCATCGCTGGGCTTGGGCTGGTTCTCATAATTGTATAAATTCTGAATGGGATATGAGGTAGTTGGTTGTACAGGTATTTCCTGCTTGTAGTAATTCAGCTGATTTCCTTGGCAAAAGTCTCTGTTAGCTAAATCGTAACTGCCATTGGCAAGATTTTTATTGTAAGAAAGACCATTAATTGCCGTAAGATCTGTTGAAACCTCAATTTGGAGCTTACCAGGTGACTCGCTGAGTAACGCTCTGCAGTTCACAGACATTTGGTCATGATTTTCTAAGGAGGTTCTATTAGCACCTTGATGTGCAGCATTTTCAGGGACTACAATTGTGCTGTGTTTACAGTAATTATCACTTTCAGCCAAACAGGAATTAGAAATTGAGATGAAAGATTTGCTGTCAATAGATTTTTTCCATCCAAAGTCTAAATTAGGGTATCTGCAAAGACATTTTCACAGACTTCATCAGATCCTTAGAAAGGACAAGGCTCAGAGAGTCACAGCAACCTGAATTTCTAAAAAACTGTAGAGAACACTATCAAAATATACCTACTTTACAAGGGAAACAAGTGTCCAAGCCATACTTGGCTTATTCTACTGCTTTAACACTTTTAGGACAGGACTGTAATTCTTGTGTCTTGCTCCCAGTGCTGGGAGCCACCAGTGATATGTACGTAACCACCCCAACAATTGGCATACAGTGCCATCAGGTGGTACAAGCCACCTGACAGTCATGCATGTATTGGTGGCTCAAGGTGGGACGGGTATGCTGCCTTGGAGCATAGCATAGTGACCGAGATCAGGGAGCCCAGAAGTGGCCTTTGGGTCCTGGATCCACAGAAGTCAAGGTTGCAACCATAAGCCTGGGAAAGCAACTTCGGACAACTTACATAACCTCTCTGTGCCTACGCTTCTGTACCTGGAGACCTGGCTAAGGATCCCCAAAAATTTCTTTGGAATGCAGACTTCACTAAATCAGAAAAATAATGAGGACAAAGAATACACTAAGGCATTCTTTGCCTTATTAATATACTTATTATATACTAAACTGCTTATGAATATATATTTAGTTCTTTAAAACAAGAAGCACTCTAAACTGTTGGTATGCTCACTTCAGTGTCACTACCAGAGAAGAAATGGTAACTGATGTGTCAGGAGCACACTATCCTGTAACTTTACAAGAACAGAAGGCTCAATAACTGAGTGTACATATTCTTACTTCAGAGTCAAACAAAAAAACTTTCGGTGTATATTAGATGTCCATGTTTTCTTCTTAATCTTTCAAGAAACATTTTTATATAAAATTGTGATTTTAACTCAATTCTGTTCCACTGCAAATGGGATCTCATGACCCATATCTTCTGGCCAACAGCACAGGCATACCTAAAATCTGCAGGAAGTGACCTGACTCCCACACCAGCGTCACCAGCTGTCTGGGCTCTCAGCTCCTCTGCAGTCAAAAGGCAGTGAAGGCGATAAAGTATGCTGGGGAGACAAACTGCTTTTCTCCACAGTGATGCAGGGATTGGATGGATAGCACAGAGTTCCGGAACCAGTATCTTTTAGTAAGGAAAAAAGTAGATAGATAAATATAAAGCACATACACAAAGAGTAAAAAAAAAGAAAATTAAAGACCAATTTCACTAATGGATAAAAACCCAAGTCATAAGTACCAGTAAAATCTAATTTTTAAAAATATTTTAAGCCAGGCATGGTAGCACATGTCTGTAATTCCAGCTACTTTGGAAGACCAAGGAGGAGTAGGAGAAGAAAGAATTTTAAAAGAGCTGTCGATGTACTTCAGTGCTCCTTGATTGTCTACTACTGGAAAAAAATCCTTTTAAATAATTCTTTAAATTCAAATGGGATTCAGGCTTAAGACTTATGAGGGTGATCCATGATATAATTACATCAATGAACCAAGGATAAAACCAAAACTCTCAAGACTTTTAAAGATGACATTCAAATAAAACTCAGTAAGATTAAAGTAAAACAAAAGAGGTGGATAACCTCCTAATATTCACATATCTCTCAGCTAACCTCTTAATAAAAACCCAAACCTTATCTTTTGAAACACTAAGTTAGGCCAGGGATATAGCTCAGTGGCACAGTACCCGCCTGGCAAGTATGAGGTCGTGATTTTGATTTGAACCCTGGTACCAAAAACAAAATAAAAACAAAAACAACACAGACTAAGTTATGCTAATAACAACTCATTACCTGTTTATTCTGCAGACTTTCCCATTTGGCTTTCCTCTTTTCAGCACTGCTGAGAGGGAGTGCTTTTCCCTTCTGATTCAAATGCCGAGGTGTCAAAAGATTAAGTCTATAAAAATTTCAAAACAGTTTTACAAACAGACAAAATAGTTTTCCAACTTGCACGTGCCCACGAATCACCTAAAAAGCTAACTTAAACTGGAGACTTGCAAACTATTCTTTGGACAAGTCTTTATGCATAGGGTTTCTTACGTGCAGAGCCCAGAGGTGGGCAGGGGCCAGGGATTCTACATTCAGCTGCGACCCTCAGGAAGGATGCCTTGAGTGCCATCCCAGTCCCAGTGTAACTTCTGAAGCTCTTACCTGGAAGATGTGTGGTCCACATCTAGCAGTGGCTGGTTGAGATTGGTCAGGTCAAGGTTATACTTTGTTTTATAATACTCTGCAAAAGTTTCATACTCAGGGGAAGGAAATTTACTGAGTGGGGTAAGATCAGTGTACACATCAGCTACATAAAATCGATGAGGCTGATCAAAATTACGGTATCTAAAAAAACAAAAACCATTAGTTGCTTTTCTGTTTAAATCCACTATTCTCAAAACACAAGATAAATTATGACTAAGAATTCAAAAAGCAACAATAACAATGCAAATTATCATCCCAAAAGACACATTTCCAGTGTATTTGAGACAGTCAGAGCTATAAATTTTTATCGTGTAGAAACTATTTTCCCTACTTTACTATCTTTGTTCTAAATATATATACTTTGATAACATGTGAGAATTTTAAATGACACCTTCAAATATCTACTTCATCAATGGAGATTTTAGCTAGAAAGAATATCAACAGATTATCTGAACTTCACAAAATAAAAACCCTTGACCTGCAGAGTTTTAGGTCTGGTTTTTTAAACAAGTTAACCAAAGAAAACATGCCCACCACAAAAGACAGCCATGGCCCACATCAAGGCTAAAGTCACAACTTACTCCCACCCCCACATGAACATGTATCTTCTAAAACAAAGTATCACTATTATTTTCCTTCCTATTTAATCACGTACCTTGGAATGATAACTGCATCTTGGTAATCTTCTAATTTAAAAACAAATGGTGTTTCCTTTGAATACTTGGTATTGGGAATGCCTATGCGAGCTTCAGATTTCTCAATATCTTCCATAAATTTAAAGTCAATGTCCAAAGTGCTGGAGTCATTAACTTAGGGAAGAAAAAGGCTCTTTAGCTGGTTAAAATGTAAATATTCTTATTCAAGTTATATAGTAACACAGTATCTAATTCAGAGTAAGCTAATTACCAAGCAAAACTTTCATTTTTTTTAGTTACTATGAAGGAGTTCTTTAAAGGCAGGAGTGGTGGTTCACACGTGTAATCTCAGCATTTGAGAGGCTGAAGGAGGAGGATACCAAGAGTTTGAGACCAGCCTGGGCTATATAATGATTTCAAGGCCAGTCTAGCGGGCACAGCAAGGCCCTGTCTCAAATAAATAAATAATTAAAAAAATAAAAAGTTCTTTAAAAGTCTGAGTCCTTCTTACCAACATTAAGAGGTAGAACACAGTATGCTGAATCAGCATCTATAGGCTTAAATTCTAGTGCAGGTTTTTCAAGCCGAAGAATATGTGAGAATATATACTGGTGAAGTCTTGTAATCAACTCAAGCATTTGCAGAGACAACGTGAAGCCAGATTTCTTCAACTCAATGGATATGGTGACTTCTCCAGAGCGTGTGTACACAGGAAAGTGAGGAATCTTAGCAAAAAGAAAAGCAACCCTTAACATCAACAGGTATTTTATCTCATTAAAATTAACTTCAGAAGAGTATAATGTTTTCTACAGTTGGAGTAGAAGAGACACCTCAAACTTTAAATATTAAACAATGCGAGGCAACAAAGATACTTATTGCCACATTTTCACCTTTTCCTTAAAAAAAAAGGCTAAAACCAAGATATCGTCCACATCAGCACGCATTAGGAAGGGGCTACCTGAGGTATGGGCTTGGCTGTGAGGATCCCAAAGCATCTCGTCGTGTCTTCCGGGGGATACAGCTTCCGCCTTCTGAAGTTGAGTTCGTCAGGTAACGGCGTGGTTAAGACCATGCCTATCACATACAGGTAACAGGGCTGATTGGGTTTGGGGTAACTATCCCTTAAACACTCTGGAATCTAGAGTTGGAAAGAAAAATTAAGCATCATGTTCAAGTATGAATGGTTACTATTCCAGATATTAGAAGAAAACAAGAAATTTACCCCTAGCTGTCCATAAAGCTGATGAAAAAAAGCTTAAGAAATTCTTGGGGAACAAGATCTCCCAGCTACTCAGTTCTGCTGAGTAAGTCAACATTCTCAGGTCTGGCTGCATAGCTGTCCAAGTCTGCATACGCTGTAATACACTGTTCCATGACACACAATAACTGCATATGCTAGGGTCTTCTTAAAAATGGGACTCACTCACTCGATCTATTATCTATTTCTTTTAACTAGGAAACTCTTCTTTCTTGGACTTTCACAGTACTTATTCACTTTAGAATATTAGAAAATAAAGGTAGACAAATATTTTTTAAAATCACACATAATCCTACCAAAGATCACCTTTAACATTCTGTTAACAGTGTTTAAGATTTTTCCTATGTATAAATGCTTGTCAATATAAACATTTTCATATTTTTCAATAAAAAAGAATCACAACAGACTGGTACATGCACACATGCAAAATAATCTGATTTTCATGCCCTGTTACTACAATGAAATATCTCTCATTGAATCAATATCATCATATTTCATGGCTATCTCATTACATGATTGAGCCATAATTAAATTATCTCAGATTGTTTCTAAGCTTTCAATATTAACACGACCTTACAGATTAGGATCTTTCAGTTTCTGGGATTCAGTTACCAATTATTGCATCTAGAGTTATATATCTGTTGTAATGCTAGCCGAGAGACCACATATAACAGCAGATGATACAGAATGTGTCTTAAATGGGATGCAGTGCAGTATGATACCTCTTGGAACACTTAACATTAGTGGTATTAATCATCCAAGACTAGTTCAATAGAAAAACTGGGTATGAAGGAAACATTTTACAAAAGCAGGCAACAGTCATGATTTCTGAAAAACCAGTATGACTTTGAATCTTGAAAATGCCTAGCTAAATACCATTTTTTGAAATGTAAAAACTCAGTAACAACTGAGGAAAAAAAAGAACCAAACATTTAGGCAAAGATGAATGTACAAACCAAAATTTCGCTTTTGTTTAGAATTTTTATGAGATAAAAATACTGTATTAAGAAATACTTGATATTTCAGTCTAGTAAAGTGTAGCCAGAAGTCAGTTTCAGGGATGTGTAAAGGAGGAGCCCGCTGAAGTAACCTATTTTGCTTCTCGGCTAAACTGGAGCTCCACACCTGATGGGGGGAGCTCCCGCCCCCTCTCTCCAGCCTCTTCAACCCTCCTGTTGCAGTGCCAGTGCGAAGTCAGGCAACACCCCCATCATTAACTGAACCAACCGAAGAAAGCCTCTTTACGTGATACGAACTCATTCTGGGTGGGATCTGATTGAGGAGACCAAGAAAGCTTCGGAGGTAACAATGACAAGGAAACCAAGCACCATCTACAGTCAAAGTGCAGGGGCCAATGTGAGAGCAGTGGTGGCCAGGAAATGCACTCAGAACCACAGTGCAGGCACGTAACAGGGGCCTGGGAAACGACCACACGGAGGAAGTTAGATTTGACGCAGTAGGATATAAAAGGCTGGGTTTTGTTCACTTCAAACCAATACTAACTGCTTTTGGGTAGCACTGCCTTCGTTTTGTGGAGCCTGGTCTCCCTGGAACACTGGTCTCTTCTTCATCATGCAAATCAAGCTCTTCTTCATATTTAACAGTCTCTTTCCCAACTGGCATCAAATGTTCATCCAGTTCACCTGAGAAGTTTGGAAAGGGAATTAATGCACATAGCCCAGCTCTGCCACTCTAAGCCATTAATAAACATCTAAAACAGCACCGCTTTATGAAACAAGTAGGAAAGTAATGAAAACTAATCATGTGACAGTAACCAGACATGAAACCTCAGGTACACTAGGAGCAGGACAGGAAATCCTGTTCCAAAATAAAAAATAAAATAAAAACACCTAAACAAACTACCGCACACACTACTTCTAAACATAAAGTCCATGGAAAGTAAGTTCTCCCAACTTGGAAGGCAAGGAAGGAGGCAGAGAGGGAGAGAATTTGGGTGGCGGGGAAGGGGCCTCTCTGAGACACGGTCTTACTATGCAGTTCAGGCTGACCTTGAGCTCGCTTTACAACCCAGGCTGATCTCAAATTTGCAAGAATCCTCCTGCCTCAGCCTCCTAAATGCTGGGATTATAGGCGTGTGCCACCACACTTGGCAAATATTTTTCATACTCAAAGACTAATAAACACAAATGTTTATGATGCATGATTCCATAGTTACCAGAAGTTAGGTAGTGCAGTTTATCTGTTTGTTCATTGATTCATTTATGGTCCCACACAGCTATAACAAGAGTTGGTTACAGCTCTTGGTAAAGAATCTTTACCTTAAGATTATATATTTTATTAACTAAGTCAAATACTGTAATCCTTTCTTAATTTTTCCCTTTGTTTTTCTTGGTGGGGAGGAGGTCACACTATGTAGTCTACACTGGCCTTAAACACACTATGAGCCCAGGCTGCCTTGGAATTCAGCGATCTTCCTGCCTCAGCCTCCTGTGTGCTGTGACTATAGGTGTGTGCCACTACACCTGGCTTTAAAACTTTTACATGCAGTATTTAAAAGGGGTTAGTAAATGAGGAAACTGAATGCTTGTAGTTAAGCTGCGGAAAGTAAAGAGGCCCCACAATACTGCAGTTTTGTAGCACACCAAGAGCAGAAGCTCACAGCTCTACAAACTCCTTAGAAAGCGCCTGGAAAATCCTAGATATGGTTTCTTAAAATAATATTTATAATTTACTTTATGTAATTTTTCAAGCACATTTACTTACCAATTTTGTGCAGTTTTTCACAGCAAATGAGAGCTACAACTCTTTCAGCCAATCTTACACAACTCATTGGTGGGCCCTGAAATGAACCAAAAAACCTCTCCATCACACGTCCATTGGTGTATTATCAATGACACAAGAAATACCCATGCAACCTGTGTCCCAGCATCTTTAAAACTCACTTTTCCCAAAGTTACCCAGTTCACAAACTGTCAGCAAGTTCAGTTCCTGATCTCTGTATTTAAATTTAAAGTAATTTAATTATTTTAATTTTTTGCAGTACTAGGGATTGGACAAGGTTTCACACATGCTAGATAAGACCTGTACCACTGAGCTACACCCCAAACCCAAAAGGTAGATTTCTAAGTAGCTGACAACATAACTAAGATAGTCAAACTACAGTTAATGAATTTGGTGTCACTGTTAAGCATTAAAATCACAACTGAATAATTCTACCACAAAATTTCACATTACTAAGGAAAATTCAGTGGCTGGGGATTTAGCTCAGTGGCATAAGCTCCTGCTTGTCAAGCGCGAGGTTGAGTTCAATCCCTCATACAAAAAAAAAAAAAAAAAGGAAAATTCGGAAGTCACCTAATCCAATTCTAAGAGTCCATAAATTATACAGTCTATTAAACATGTTAACCTGTAGGCTACAAAAGAGACTTTAAAATCAAGTTTGTAATTTGCATGTGTAGAAGAAACTAGGGGAAAACATGCATTAGTGACACACTTTAAAAGCTACAATCACTTTTATTTCTAAACTTACAATGATGGAGGCTCGCAGAGGTGAATTGATCGGCAGATAAAGGGTTGAATAAAATGTACCATCAGGCAACTCTCGGGTTCTACACTTGGGAGCTAGATGAGTAAATGGATCGCTTGGTAACCTAGCACAGTATCTGTAAAGAAAAAGAAATTATGGACTGAATCTACACATGACAAAAAGATGGGAAAACTCTGTAGTGACATTCACAGCTACAGCCTGTTTCTTACATTCCTCTGCCCCTCCACTGCACTGCCATTTGTCTTACAGCACGTCCTTCATACTCCAAACTTTCAGGGAGACAGAGCCAAACACCTGAAGCTAACATATCCAACTTTTCATTTACCTTACATTGACTGCCGAATTTAAACAGCTGTGTGTCTAGCATTACTCCACTGCACAGAGCAAAGTACTGCTCTGAACCCATGAAGAGACTAACCTGTCAAGTGTCTGTTCTGTAATAACCTCACATTTGCCACAACCATAGGGACATGTGTCAAATAAGGCATCAAAAGAGAGCAGGACATCCCGTGTGAACAATAAAGGGGGCATGAAAATAAGAGTGATGAAGCAGAGCAGGATGCCAGCCCACGAGGAGCAGGGCCTGGAGGGAGCTGGAACAGGCAGGCAACAGCCCGGTGAGAGGTGCCCTGCACAGCAGGAAGAGCGGCTGCGACAGGCAGATGCAGCATGCAGGGCGTGCTCTGAAGACAGTGAACGAGACTTCTCACTCTGGAAGAAGAGAGATGAAGAGAAGAGAGGAAAGCTACAATGAACCCTTTTAATGTCACACTAAAATGGTGGTACCAAAGCTAGGTAGCAGACAGAGAAATAACCACAGACATAAATGTGCTTGCAAATGTAAGTAAGTATAAACGTACAACACAAACAAACTTTACAGCTCTGTCCACTAGAAAGCCTGGCTGTGGTAACATACTACTGTCAGTGAATACGCTTAGTACCCAAACCTTGGTTTCTACACACATTACTTATTCTCTACGAAGAGTGAGCAAGACCCCTTGGAAAAACTGCCTGTGTCAAGGCTGAGGCAAGGAGCAGATTCCAGCTGAGTCCACACACTGTCTTCTGCCACAGTCTAACAAAGGGCTCTAGAATAATGGTGACATGCTAAGAAGACAGAAAAGCTAGTTTGAATGGTTCCCACTCACCAAATCAGATACAATTTTAACACTGAAATAAGTAATAAATGACAGTAACATTATAACCAAATAAACAGGATTTTCTAAGTTCACATAGATAAAAGAAAAATAGTAAGAACAAATAAATGAAGAGGAAAAAACTTTTTCTTAAACAGAATGCCACCTAATAGAGACAGAATAAACTAGAATAGACAGAATAAACTAGAAAAATCGCTATTCAGTAGTCATAATCATCATGAATTCAGACAAAAGCTACCAGTGGATATCATACTAATGAACCCACCTGGAAAGAAGACTGAGCTGTACATAGTCTCAAAGTATCTTCCCATGAAATATTTACTAATCAACTTCACAACACATGAAACTGGCCGACCTTACCGAGTGCCCGTCACCTTCCTGGACACAGGGAGGCACAGTGAGCCAGCATGGGAGGAGCTAGTCCGCACTTCAGTGACACACTGGCCAAAACACACACGCTGAGCTTAAGCAAGAGGAAATACCATGGAAGCCTCAACGCAAGGCGGATACAGAATGGTCTCCACAAGTTTCAAGGCCAGGGAAATCTACAGGAGCCCGGAGAGCTGTGACCGCGGACAGAGGCTATGACCTGGACTCGATGCTCTGGCTACATAGCTTTCTTTTTTTAATGAAGGGGGCACGGCTGGGACTCAAACTCAGGACCTTGAGCTTGCCAGGCAGGCACTGATGCCCCTGAGTACACCCCCAGCCCTAGACAACTTTCTTGTGAGACCCATGTGGTCTTTCTGGGTGTAGGACATGAGTGTTCTTTGCGGTATTCTAGCAACATATTAATTTCTGAAATTGTTTTAAGATAAACGACTAAAGGAAACCTTATACTTGTTCCTTTATTTTGTCTCTGAGTGAAATTTATCTTGATTTATAGTGTAGACATGTACCTGCTTTTCTTAGGTCTGTATCTGCCATTCTTTAGTTCTTAGAAATATCACCAGGTCAGAAAAAGTAAATTGAAACATATCTGAAAATATGAATTAATTTATAATAATCTCATTTCATTCCTAATGGGAAATTCAGCATTACCCAACATTTATGGTGCAAAACAATGAATTTCAAAATGGGGTAAAAAAATGAGCATTATAGCATTAAATTAAATCCAATTAAAAGCAGCATGTCCTCATGTTAGCCTTGTCCAGTCCTAAGATTTATTACTACATAGTCTTGCTTTTGCAAGGGAAAAAAGTACCACAAAAATTTTCTTTTTCTCACAAAAATACTGCAAATTATAAAAGCAAAGGCCACTGATGGTAAAATATAGACAATATGCTACTTACAGGTGTGTGACGCTTAACTCTTGTGATACTCACAGCTTTCCGCACCAAGAACCTGACAGCCTACCTATTGATGTGTCCGATGGCCGTGTTGATTGTGACTCGGGGGCCCCCATCATCTGGCCGCAGCACATAGGGTGGGAAAACATCGTCATCGTCCACGACAGGATCAACATCAGCCTCGCCCGTGTCCACTGACTTGGAACATTTGTTTCTCAAGATCTGAACATTGAAAACAGAACTGGGGATGAGAACAAATGTCTTCTTGGCCATATGTTAGCTGTTTGCCTCTGCACCTACAGAAAAAGTTCTTTTGGCACGACATATCCATTTTTCTGAAATGTTTATCAAAATTCACCTCACTTACTACAAAAAGCTGCTCTCACATAACACATCATAGCCCTCACACATGGAAACGCTCTCCACGCAGTGCAGGCCCACACTGTGTGTGTGGCTGTCACTCATGAGCACAGCTACTGAGCCATGTTGTCCTCACCCCCACCCCACCAGCTCAGCGTCACCACCCTGTTCACGCATCCCAACCCTGTCCCAGTACCATTTTCTGACCATTTTCAGAGATGTTTCCCTGGGATTTTCTAATCACTTATAAGAAGGTGCCAGGTCTCAGCAATCAGTCCCAAGTTCCTTATATAATATACATACTTCTCACCTCTGTCAGGACATTTCCTGGGGATAAAACTGTTTCTATCAACCAAGGGTGACCAAACAATACGATGAAATGTTTACTATTTTTTTTTTTTCAAATCCATTTCATTTCAAGGAAAAAAAAAAAAAGAAAAAACTAAAACAAAATTCCCAAGCACGTCAATCAGGTGAAAGTTTACGTTTTAAAAGTGTGTCACAGAAAAAAACACACGGTCATTAATTTCCCTCAAATACCCTCCCACCTCCCTGCCAAAACATTCACCCCACCATTCCGCCCACTTTCTGAAGCAGTTCTCGCGTCTTTACAAGGTATGACCAAGAACACAGTAACACTGCCGGGAAGCGCCCACGATGCAAAGCCAGGCCCTGGGACACTGCAGGGCGTCCGCATCCACCTCAGTCACTGCAGCGGGCACCATGCAACTTCCAGCTCTGCCCCACAGTCAGAAGCACCACGAAAGGCAGCAGCTTTAGTCACTTCAGACACTGCGGCAGCCACAGCAAGGCAGCTGAAGCCCCTCACAGCACTTCAAGACCACAGCAGAGAGCAGCAAGGCCAGAGGAAGCGGGAGGATCCGGAAGAGGATGAATGGCAATGCGCCGTTTACTGTGACAAATGCTTTACACTTCTTAAGCATTCACCGTATTTTTCGATCATGCCATATTCTATATACACAAGGACTAAGGATGTTACCAACTTAACTTTTTCATCTTACTTTTCCTTTTCTTTCTTTCTTTTTTTTTTTTGTACCAGCAACTTGCACTTGCTGGGCAGTGCTTAGATACCTCTGAGCTATGTCTGCGGCCCCATGATCTTACCTTTTCAATAGCTTTGTAGGTTTTAAGGTCTTCTTCAAAACTTTTTATTTTGTCTGTATCTGCTAACATTATGTAATTAGAAATTGGCGCCCTTGCTCTTCCTTTAGATTGAACATAGGAGCGATACTCTGTGGGCAAATCAAAACGAACCACCAAGTTGCATTTTGGTATATCAACGCCTTCTTCTACAATACTTGTTGCAATGAGCAGGTTGGTCTCATGTGCTCGAAATTTCCTAAGTACCTGAAAAAAATCCACCGAGAAAAGCAATTATAAGAAATTTTCCAAAGAAAAGAATATGAAAATAATTAATAGTGGTCATTTCTTACACATACCCTGAGCAAGCTAGACCTCTAAGGTCAATCTAAAGAAGATGACAATATCACAGAAATCCAGCTGCACAGCCACAGGGACACAGAAATTCTGATTTAATGAATTTTCAACCAAATATGAGTGGAAAATCAAAGTACTTATTTTTCAGAAATAACAAAACCACCAATCACAGATGGAAGGGGCTGGCTTCTTTAATGATCCCAAGTATTACCAATGAACCCACGTCGTAAGTCCCACTGATACTCTGACCCTCCAGAATGATCACTGATGCCTCCAAGACTGCGCCAACCAACAGCCCTCCAAAGGTTTCCAAATTCTGTCATTAAAATTCCTAATTCACTTGGAATTAAAAAAGACAAGCAGAGCATTGCTTATTTTCTATCACCTTGAAAAATTTCAATTTAAGGAGTCAGAATTGAATAAAATAAAGTGAAAGCTTTTTCACTTGAAATTCAAAACTACATCACTCTCCAATCCAAGATACAAGGTAACTAAAATATATAGTGAACGTCAAAATTTTTAAAAATTATAACAAAGATATTGCCATTAATCTGCCTGAAAACACTCTTTGCCTCTCACTTTGAACACATTCATCCCATCATTCTTGCAATTTTCCAAAGCACTTCTGGAATTCCTTTTCCGTGGGTATCTATATGAGGTGTGGTTTAAAAAAAACAGGGTATCTATATGAGGTGTGGTTAAAAAAAATAAGTTAGAGAACAAATTTAAATTAAAGGTTTTATTTGCAAGCCAGAACACTAAATTAGCTTTTAGTATTTTATAATGTTTCCTACAAAAGACATTAAAAAGCATGAGAAATTTAAGTTAAAAATATGTAAAATACAGTTTAAAAAAACCATTCATTTGAAATGCTGCTGCCAACTGCCATCCAACAAAAAGGCAGACTCCTAAAATATTACAACGTTTTCATCTACCTGATTTACCAACCTGGCATCGTTTGATTTGTGGCTCTTCCCTCAAAGTCAAAATGCCCACGAAGAGCAAGCATTTTGGATCCATTCAGGACACTGAGGTAGCTACAAATGCACAACTATAGACACCAAAATGGACTTCTAGAACTGCTTCATGGCAAGCATGAAGGGATAAGAATGGTTAAAGTAAGGGGGTACTTTTTTTTTTCTTGGAGATAGGGTCTCACTATGCAGTTCAAGCTGGCCTTGAACCCACTAAAGAGCCCAGACTGGCCTTGAACTCACAAACTCATGGTGATCCTCCTGCCTCAGCCTCCCAAGTGCTGGGATGACAGGTATGTGTCGTTGAGCCCAGCCCTTAGGGCTGAAAGAATTAACAACAGTGTGCCTTTTACTATAATGAAGTTTGAAAAGGTTAGACATTCACCATATATTTCAATCATACCTTGTCAGTTAAGAAATAACATAAGCTGGGTTTCAGACAGATTTACAGACTGGCTCCTGCAATCCCTAAACCTAAACCTGGACTATTATCAAACAACTGTAACAAAAATGTCTTTGGCAGAAACTATTTGGCTAAGTTAAGAGAACAAATTTATATTAAAGGTTTTATTTGCAAGCCAGAACACTAAATTAGCTTTTAGCATTTTTTAATGTTTCCTAGAAAAGACATTAAAAAGCATGAGAAAATTTAAGTTAAAAATCTATAAAATACAATTTAAAAAAACATTCAACCAAAGTAAGACTTTAAACTAAAAAGCAAGAAAATATATGTCAGGGGAAAAGATGTCAGCTTGTTGCTTCACAGCCACATGGAGACGACAGAAGTTACCATTACTGACGTTCCGTGCTTCTGTGAGATGCACAGTAGTTGTGTGACACCAACCCAAGAAAGGCGAGTGAACTAGCTGATGACAATTAAGACACAAAACTGGTCTGCCAGGGGGCTTCTCTGTTCTATTATGTAAATCACCACAGCCACCTCACAGGAGACTACTGTCTATACATGAACAAGTACCCTATATGACAAAAAGAAAAGAAAGTGAGAAAGAAATTGCCAGGCTAAGCTTCGCAGGAGGGAATCCCTGTGGCAGTGTGTGTGCACACTCTGACAAGAGCCGCCGTGGGGTTATTTACTTCACCTCTTCCTGTTTTCTGAACTCTGCTTCCATCTGCTTGTTTCGAGGCTGATTCTTCCCAATGCCATGTCCAGTTATAAAGTTGCTGCTGATATAAGCCAGCTCTGGATCTTGTTTGCCAGCTTCCTTTATCAACCTAAGAACACGAGTGGAAGTTAAACAGTGCCAAGGAAAAACTTAAGAAATATGCACACTATTCTTTATCAACGTACTTAACAAAATAAGCTTGGTGTTTTTCTTTCCAACTGGATTCAACAAAATCACTGCCATGCTTCACCTTCTAGATCTGTGGCCTAAGTACTCATAACACTGAATACAAGGCTGAGTTAAACTACCAAATGAAATGGTCTCTTTACCTCCAGTTTTTGCTTTGGTGATATGACTTAAAAGAAACATGGGCTAAAGTAGGATGGAGCTATTTAAGAGAAAACACAGATCCTGGCTCAACCGACTTCCCACACGCTTGGCCTCAGCAGCCTGTGCTCTTTCCTCTGTGGCCATGTTCACATGGAACAAGCCTGACACCGAGGCAACTGTCACATCCCCTACCAGATGTGGTAAGAGTTCCAGCTGCACAAGACACAGAAAAATGGCCGTTTCTTCTCATCTTATCCAACTGTCTTTATCATTGGGAGCAATGTTCTTAGGAAAGAAATGCCTCACCCTCTCAGTGCCAACACGTTCTGGTCCCCAGGCAGCTAAACAGGGTTCAGCACGGCAAAGTACTAGACTTCAGTACAAGGCAAAGCAGATCTCCCAGGCAGAGGCATGAAAGAGAAGAGAACCCTGAGCTGTGGTCCCTTTCCTGCCGCTCCTTGTAGTAACAAGGAGCCAGTAACACAGAGCTGGCCTCCCAGCTAAGACACAGAAAAGATCTACGAGACAGGACGGGATCAGATTACATGAGCACCAAAGGTTAACAGTTAGTGCTGCCATTACAGCTATTTTGGAAATACGTACATTCAAAAACTCAGCGCACAGGATAAATGGTTCCACACCTGACATAAGTGACTCCATATGGGTCCTCTGAAGTCATACTGCATAGAATAAATTCCTAACAGAAAATTACACTTTAAAGTCAAACCATTCTCTTTCTTTCTTTTAAATACACTGAACAGGCTAATATCAAAGAGCTGGAAGAAAATGAGTAGCCAGCTAAAGTATCTCCTGCCTCCAATCAGCAGAGCATGTCCAGGCTACCTAGAGACTTTGTTCTGTAGTTCAAGTACTTAAAATGTCTAGAATTAGAAACTTCCTTACGTTTCAAGGTTTAATTATAATAAACCTATAATGTCAGTAACAGAGAACAGCATTACATATAAGCAAGCAGTATGCCCAAAAGCCTAAAAACTGAAATATTCCTTAGAAATAACCTATACTGCTGGGGATTTAGCTGAGTGGTATAAGCACCTGCCTGGCAAGCACAAGGTCGTGAGTTCGATCTCCAGTACCAAAAAAAAAACAAAAACAAAAACAAAAACAAAAACCCTATACTTTAAACAAAGAACCTATACCTAGAAATAACATATACTTCTAAATTTTAGTTTATAAAACTATCATTTTGAATGTGAAAGTTTTAAAAAACCATTTTAAGCTATTCTTACTTAAGCAAAAAAATGTACTTTGCCAAAATTATCAACATGGCAAGCTTTAATTAGCCAGAAAATAGAAACACTAACAATAATTTGTTTCTCCTGAATGACAGCTGAGACATGACATATATAATTTTTAAAATTTTGCAAGCAATAATTCAGTATTATACATCTATGCTGATAATATTTACAAAGGAAAATGATTTCTGCCCTGGATGAATTTAAGAGATGCTTAATCACATCCCCAAAAACACAAGCTTCAAGGGAAACAAGTATCTGTTGTACTCAAGAAGTTCACAAGTAACTAACATAAACTGCGTAAAGACTTCCTAGGATCAAGAAATTAGTGAAATCACGTTCCTTTCGATTTTTAAGCTGAGATTTCTATGAACTGCTCTACAAGCAAGCTATGCGATAAACCATGCTCTTCTACAGTGCACACAGGGTTTCTCATACTTTTGGTAGTGAAGGACAGGTTTTTTTAAATTTCCAATTTATCAGAGACCAGGTTTTGCAAAATTAAAATGCCAACTTTATTTAGTAGATATAAAATTACTATCAAACTGTTTATAAGAGTGTTCATAAATACTTTGAAATTATGCATGCAACTTCCAGCAGAGGTTAAGACCATATCATGTGTGTATGTGTGTGTGTGTATGTATATATATATACACACACACACACACACACAGAGATATGTAAATGCCTCTCCCTGAATAGGAAATACATATATGAAAACTAATATATTATTGAAACTTGATTTGACTAAACATGCTAATTAATGCAACTATTAAAAGAAAACCTCAACGATATAAACATACCATAACTTTCTACCTTGTACTTCAAAGAACATAGGAACTAGTATCTACTGTATGTTAGATGATTAAACACTCATTTTTTATATATGTTGCCTTTCATTAACAAGCCAGTTAGACAGGGAGATACTATTACTATTCTATGTATGCTGAGGCTTTAAAAAGTTAAATTTATAACCGGTAATCTACAAATCCCTATTAATGTATAAGGGGTAATTTTTTACCAAATAATAAAATACTCAAACAGAAGAACTGAGGTATGTCAAAGGGACACAGGAGCTAACTCCAAATAGTTCCCAATGGCTAATGATGGAATAATTTTGGCAACAAAATAAACTAGCATAACACTGAGTTACAATCTAAAGTTTAAAATAAACATAGATCCACACTGGCAAATACATGGTTGAATAACTAAACAGAAAGGTATATAGGATAAAAGAGACAAACTTCTCTGAGAATTCCAAACATCCTTCTCCAGGAAGTAGAGATCAGTCGCTCCCTGCTAGGATGGGTTAGACTTAAAAACTTGCTTCCAAACCATAGAGTTAGGAAAAGGAAAAAATACAGTGCAGAAGATGGACAAACCCTACCACAGTCAAATAATAAAGCTTAACATCATCAATAATGCTTCATGTTTATATCATGAGCTGCCATTTTCATGTGACCAGGGGCATGTCCCCTCCATAGCACTCTTCCAAATCCTGCCAACGCTGCCCTAACACTGAGAAAAGATGGTGCACAAGTCGTTAGTGGAACATCTTCTGAAATGCTGGACTAGTAGTCATCCAAAACAGAAGGACAGAGAAACTACTAAGACACCAAAGGAGACTTGGAAGATATGACAGTGTGATATAGTACCTGGAGTTAAAAAGATGACAGAAAAAAATAGCAAAATCTAAATAAAGTCTAAATTTAGTAAACAGCAATGTATCAATGTTAGTTTTCTTAGTTTTGGCAAATGGTGACATGTAATGCTAACTAGGTGAGAAGAATACGGCAACTTTCCATACTTCTAACTTTTCCATAAGCCTAAAATCATTCCAAAATTAAAAGATCTCAGGAAGAAAAAAGGTAAAGGGGTAGTCAGGACATGAATTCAGGTTTGTCCATCACCAATATCACACCACACCAGTAAATCGCATGGTGAAAGGATTAAGAGCCGTTTTTGCCACCTGATATCTGTAATTCTACCAGGTCACAAACAGAATTGGTTTCTTTATGTGTAATATGATAAGAGCATCTACTTTCTGCCATTATGCAGTTCTGTGACAATTTCTCAAGTATATAAAAAAGAACCTTATAAATCCCCATATAAATTAAGAGCAAAGCTGTAAACATGAGACTGAGCACATACCTACACTCCACACAGAAGGAGTTGTGATTGATTTTTTACTCAGGAGAGTAGAAAACTACATGTGAACTGCCAGAGCTTCTATTCCCATGAAACTGTTCACTGAAGGAGGGTTTTTCCTCCCATTAAATTGATGGAAGGAAAGAATCTGGATTTCAGGAAGTTTTTCTAAGCTTATTAAAAAGCTTACTGGAACAAGACTCCTATTGTACATTTAATTAGCTGCTCATAAAGTCAACCCTGAGACTGCTCTTGATTCGCTCTGTAGCACTAAATTCCAGCCACATTTTATGAAAGTTGATCACAATTAATCTGATTCTTAAAGTCAATAGGAAGTAACTGATTGATTTTGGATAAACTTTCAAGCTAATATTCCTGCAATGAAAACTGACAGATTTCTATGTAAAAATGCATGCAGACTGATTCACAGGGGCACACTGAATGGGTGGGATTGGGGGGTAATAAACTCCCATCCTTCTCTCTAAACCCTAGAAAATTTCTTCAGCCTAATATTATCCTTTTTAGGGCAGAGAGCACATCCATAATTAAGACTTAGAATTGAGCCAGTGTTAAAACTTTTTGACCCCCAAAATGCCTTCTACTCATTTTAAGAAACAACCCCTCATCAGCCAAGCAGTCCCTGGCTGTCTTCCCACTGTAAAGCAGTTTTTGGGGTTCTGTGACACCCAGGGGCATTCTGATGGTAGAACCAAATGGAGACTAGAAGTGGGATAGTAGGACTCTAGAACTGTCCCTGCTACTGACTAGCAATTTAACATACAGCAAATCCCTTTTCCTCCTGAGGCACTTTTTGTTTTTTTTTTTATAAAGTAAGTGGGTTGAATCAGACAGTCAATGAGGTCCCTTTCCAGCCTTAAACTTCTGATTTAAATGTAATTCAGTACCTGAAGTTATTGTACTTTACATTCACTGGAAGGTTCAGGCTCAATGGCTATGAAAATTACCAGACTAAAAACTGCCAGATGACTACCCTCGAGTCCAATTTCTCATTACTCAAAAAATTTTTAAACCCCTAAACATTTACAAACAGTTAAAGAAGGGCAGGGGGAGATCCAAAAAACCAAATTACCTCACAAAACAAAGCTTAATTTTTCCTCAGAGAACACTACTTGTAGAAAAAATATTCTTAGGGTTCAAATTTAATGGATCTCCTAGAAAAGTAGATCATTTTAAGCACAAAATAAGGTCCCTATTTAGGCAGAAGTAGGTCCACAACCATTAAGGACCATCCGTTAAGCGATCATTTGACACAAGTGTAAAGCAGAGCTCCTTGCTGTGTCTCTCCTCTGCAGAAGTGAAGGGAAAGAAGCGAAGACGGGGAGAGTGTAATCCACAGCCTAACATGCAGATTCACGGTCACCTTTCCTGTCTTCTCAGAACTCTTCCTCAAACTCTTTTCTTCCGATTCAGAATATTTTAATACAGTCTAAGAGCCCAAAGTATACACCCAGTTGTTCTAAACTTTCTTGCCATAGCCCAAAAATGTGAAGCCATACTGTTTACGTGTGCAGGGGGAAAAAAAGTCTTTGCTCTGCTCTCAGGCCACAACAACCTAAAAAGAAACCTAAAAAGGAGTGAGGCTTTTTCCCCAGCAAGCAAGCAGTCGATTCTGCAGCAGTGGATACCTTAACTCCATTTTGACACTATCTACCTGAAGGTAGCATTAGATCCCACAGATTGTGAGATTCAGTCCTCAAGATTACTCCCCAAGTTTGGGTGCTAATGTATGCACTAAGTTATTTTATCTGGGTGTCTAACCCAGCAGTTACAAGTCAGGATTCCCACAATCTTCTCCTTGGATTTGCCACAGCAGCTCACAAGACTTGGAATGCGTACACTCACCAGCAAATTATAAATAACAGTACAGATACTGAGAGATCCAGGGGCAAGGTGTACGTCAAAGGGCAAGGACCTTCCGGCACCTCAACGTGTTCAGAGATTTAGAAGGGCTCAGGTCCCTTCCTTGGGTTTATGCAGTTTGTTATGCATGCAGGATTAACAGCATCAAGTCATTCCAATCTAGAGCGGTGGGAGGGCTAAAAGACCCAATCCTCTCACTTGCCGTGGTCTTTCCCATGTCTTTCCTATGACCAGCCCCAATCTGAAGCAATGGACAGTCAGGCAGTCTTAAAATAACTAATGAGTATACAAATCACTTTGAAGAGTCTAAAGATTTTAAATGCTGTATGCTAATAAACAGGAAGGAGACCAAAGGGGTATTTCACTATATCACAGTACACCATGAAAAAAATTAACATAATATCCAGGTAAAGTTTATCCTAAGATTACCAGAAGGAGAAAGTTTGCTGAGTAATGCTTAATACCATGGCTGATAATGGAGCACAAAAATTAAATACAAAACAAGGAACTCATCAAATGTAAATTTTTATACCTGTTCTCTATTTCTTTTTAGAATAGATTAGCATCTTAATACAAAAATCTCAGTCTTGCCAAAATCAGCCTTTGGGAAAACAACCGTATTTATAGACACCCGACACCCGCACCCAATCCCCAGATGGCATTACCCTGGACCACAAGTGGGCGTGAGGAGCAGGCACTGACAGGTCCCTCACGCTGGCCCCTAACACCGTCACAATCTATCACAGCACAAAAAGCCGCCTTTGTTCTATTCAGAAACATGTAAACCTGAGAGATTTACCTGTTTAGGACAACTGCTGTGTATCTTCTTTCCACAAAAATAATTCCACATAAAATATTGGTAAATGGAGAAGGAAAATTTGTCTCTGGCTTTTCTTTTTCTTCAATTTCTTCATCCTCATCCTCATCCTCAGAATCACTCCAAGACACATAATTATCCTGATTTCTATTATTATACCACTCAACACTTTCAAACTGCTGTCGCTCATACGGTTTATATTTGCGCAAGATTTCAAGGAGTTTTATTACTTTAGGAGTTACAAATTTCAGGTCAAGTGAGGCAGGTGAGAAATGCTCTTCACATAGTGCATGTATTTTCCTTAGGAAAGTGTCTGTAAACAATAAAAATTTCCTGTGCAGCTCTTCTTGTTCATGTTTGATATATTTCTGAAGTTCTCTTACCATCATTCCAGCTACTTTATCTGCACACCAGGGTCCCAGAACTACCAATACTGCACGACAATCTGATAGAATCTACAAAAAAATAAGAAGCCAAATACTAAACAATGATCATGCAGCATTTTCACATGGGATGCACCAGTAATTTAAGTATCCTCAAACTGCCTTTCAAAATCAATTTACCAAACCAATATAACCCTAATACTGGGGAGAGGAGTCAGCAGTCTTCTCAGTCTCTGCTATTTCATATATCTACTCCTAGAACCACCCCTCCCAGCATCTAACAGGAAAGATGCAGTTGTATAAATCTAATAACACTTAATTGTATATCTGTGATTAGTGAGTCATTTATTTCCTGCCAAGTTATGCAAAGAACTATGCCAGCAGAGTAATTTTACTTTTGTAATTTTTGTTCTTCCAGAAAGAATATGATTCTCCTTTAACTTTATGTATAACATTCTCTAGTCTGATAGATATACATAATTATAATAAATATTAATTGAGGAAGATGAGGAACTATGAATGAATTTTGGCCGGCCTGAAGCCTGTACTGTATCTCCAGTTACAAAAGTTAACAGTGTTAAAACTTGCACAACTATCTTCTGTCATTATTTCAATGAAAACTGTACCACAAGGGGCAAGGCTCCTCATCTTTAAAATCTAAGCTAAATTCAGATTATGATCTTGGAGCCTGCCCAGCATGCCACACAACTTGTAGCCAACAGCAGAATAATAATTCACAGCCAAGATGCAGAAATCACTTATCTACATTCTAGCAGAGGATATAATAAAAATTTAGAAAGAATGCAAAGGGTGAGAAAAACTTGAGCATTGCTATTCTAGAAAAAATTAGCATGAGCAAAATGAAGAACCACACTCAATACAGTGCTAACATCCAAAAACAACTGCAAACTCCCAGAGCAGTGGTTCTCAGGCTCCAAATCATCAGAAACACTGGGAAGCTTGAAAAAACTCCAAGCCAGAGCTTTTAATATTCAAAACTCAATTCTGGGGACCCCAGCCCAGAATTTCTGACTCAGCAAGTATGGGGCGGAGCCCATAATTTACATTTCTAAAAAGCTGAAGACAGGTAAGGAGTTGCAGCCACCAGTTGAGCTCCAAATCACAACCAGTGCCCTCAAGTTTTCTTCTGGACCTATGAGGGTCAACAGAATCATGCCTAGTTACACACCAGAGAACAGCAGAAGACTCATTTAGTCCATGGGTTTGAGCAAAAATTCTCCCACCTGATCAAAAGCAAAGCAAACAAGACCTGGACTCATTCCTTCTACTAAAACAATGACCTGAATCCTAATTCATCTCTTAAATAATATCATGTACACTTAACGTTCAATCTAATACATGTTCAATGAAAACCTTCCATGGAAATAAAAAGATAAGGCTTTAAACAAAAACATACAGAAACCAGCTTTTTATTTCAATATTAAACACATACAAAAGCTTTTCTATTATAATACTTCATATATTGTTACCTGTTTAGAAATTAAAGTAGAATCTCTTTCTTTTGAATGTACAGATATATTACAGTCATTGATAAAAGTAAGTGCTTCTTCTAATTCCATCAGCAGTCTTTCATAAAGCCCACTTCTGTCAGTAAATGGTCCACAATCCACCACAATCTCACATGGCTGAGAAGTGTATCTTTAAGATCAGAAACCAAAACAGTCACTAATATGCAATTGTAAAAAGCATAAACAGCGATACTGTTGGAAGGACATGTTCTACCATCAAATATACTGTAATGTTTCCACACTGTCTGAAATCTTTAAGATGTCTATTTCATATTTAATGTAGCCTCCTATGGAAAACTCCCCAGCCTTCATTCACTCCTGATGCCATTCCTTTCATAAAACACAATAACCAGAAAGGCACACAAAACTATCCCAAAAGCACATGCAATAATTTTAATTAAGAAATACAGCAAGAATATATTTAATTCTATAGTTTTCATTTTTCTTAACCCAAGCTAGAATTTATATTTAACTTAGAGTGTCACATATGAACAACTAGGCAACGCTTAAGCTAAAAGGTTACTTGGCAGTTAACTCTTAAAATGCTCCAATAGCTGTCCTTCTCCTAAAAACTTATACTACTACAGGTTAAACAAACTCAGGCCAGAGAAAAGCACAGGTATAGCCTTTTAACTTCTACATTACAACTAGTGTTGACTCAGGGAAGTCAAAAAATAGCATGTCTTAAAGGTCATAAGACTTTTATTTCATATGGCACTGGGATATCTTAATTGGATGAATCTAATATGTTACCTTTTCTTCTCACTCAACAAGGCATTTTCTACCCAGCCATGTAACTGACCATCACAGAATCCCTTAAAACAACTGCCAATGCCATCTGGTTCAAGGAGTAACCCATCTGAGGTCACACAGCTCAGAATTAGGGCAGCAAGTAGTCAAACCCATGTATGACTCAACTGCACAGCCTGAGCAAACAGTCTTCTTTATTTGTTATACTTGCCCTAATAACGACTACTTGGTGATTTTTAGCTTTTTTTCAAAACTACTTCAGACTATCATTATTTTGATATGAACTGAATCAGTACATTTACTTAAAGATCATCATTCTCCTTCTGACTTAGGTAGTCCCCGGCTTGCTTGCCCCAACTTAAGCAAATCAGTGAGCATATGTGTGCGCGCGTGTGTGTGTGTGTGTGTGTGTGTGTGTGTGTGTGTTTCCATGTGTAAAGTCTGAAACATGAAATTGAAATTTCCTAAAGAGACAAGCCTACGAGTTATAGAGTGTTTTTCTCAAAAATATGCAACCTATTTTCAAAACAGTAGGATGCTTAGAAATATTTTAAAGTATACTGCTATTTTCTAAATAAATTCATGTTCTTTCAAAGCATCACACGCAGTATCTAGGTCAGAACAGAATAACAAAGCATTCACATTGACAGAAAAGAACCTAAATTTACCGCTGAGGTCTTTAAGTTTCAGGTAACATCAGGAAACAGGAGGAGCTGACATTTGCAACATAGTCTGTCAAAGTAGAAACACCTTCACAGCTGCTCTTGGAAACAAGACTAGATTCTTGCATATGCATGTAATATACTTATTAGTTGCAACTAGAATCACTCAAGCCATGCCTATCTGAACTGCTTACCTGTCTAAAACCACCAGGTCAGTTGCAGTTTCCGCATTACTCTTAAGAATTTTCTCCAGTTTCTGAATCTTTTCTTCTAATTCCTCTGGATCACATTTCCCATTTAAAATGGAAGCAGTTAGTCCCAAGATGCGAGGACATGATGGACAATTTTCACACAGCTAACATAATGAAAGATACTGACAATAAAGACTTCATTTTTCAAGGTTATAATAGAGATATAATCATATTAAACATATCAAAATCACTGGCAAACACTAAAAATCAACTTGTTCAATGGAAACATCAATATACCAAGGATGACATAATAATTAGAGAATTATGGAAATTTCTTTGAAAGATCAATTTTTCAAAAAACAGATTTACATACACTACAAAACATTAGTATATACAGTTTATGTTTAAAAACTTATGGATTTAAATAACATTAATATTCATTTGCTCATTCATATACTGGAACTAAGTTTCAAATATTGATAACTAACATTATTGCTTTTCACATCTTGAAAGAAAACTGTACATTCTCTATAATTTGTTCAAATTGTTACCTTAGACTGTTAAGAGGTAAAGTCTAAAAACGTACCTTCATAATTTCTCGATAGGGGTGGTCTAGAATCGCGAGATGGCACTCATCAAATACCAGAAGATTAATGTCTGATAGTGATAAGTACCCATTTTTCAAAACATTCAAGGCGACAGAGCAAGTCATAATGAGAACCTAAAATAAAACTGACATCAGTATAACCATGCCATTTACCTGCTAGATAAGAAAGAAGATCATAGAGCCATGGTATCATAGGTTGAGGATTAAGAAATTCATTAGTCAAAATTAAAAGAAAAAGTCTAAATGTATAGACCAGTGGTGGCAAACCTACAGCTTGTGTGCTGGAGTGGGCTGTTTGCTACCACTGAAAGCTCTAAAAGGTTCACCATCACTGGTCTAGATTTTCATGCTCTGGAACCAAGAATCAGGAAGACATGGGAAGAGACTCTGAGTATACAATTCTTGATATGGGAGCACATTTTGTTATAATAAATCTAGGTTGATGAGACCCATTAATTTAGTCCAATCACAAATCAATTCACAGCTTTTGTTTCCCCCCACTGAACTGGCAAGGTTTTCTGAATGACTAAATATTCTTTTTATAGCTTATCACCCTGTGGCCATTTAAGTGTTTGCTTAATTTATGAGGATTTATCCCAGTATGTGAGAAAGACTAGTAGACTGCAGGCTGTTTCAAGTTAGAAGGATGCAGCTCCCAGCAACTCTGTGTCTCCCAGCACCACACACAAAGACACTCAGAACATGCTGCCTACATAGAAAAATAGAAGTCACAGGGAATTTGCATCAAAGCTCCAAAGACCCCAGCAAAGAAGTTTATCTATTTATTTAACTCAAGAGTAAATCTTCTGAAAGCAGATTATGTGAAAATTGGAAACAGTCATAAGAATTTGTGTTTTTCAAGTAAGTAACCATGAATGTTGGGGTTTTCTTCCCTAAAGATTAAAAGCAATGCAAATTAGTAATTTAGTTGGTATTCAAATGAGAAAGATTACAGAAGGGCTAGGCTCTAGGCTGAAAAAGAGCAAGAAGTATGAGTTGCTTAAGTCAGACAACCAAAGCTATAGGCCATCTTGCAAACCTAGTCAAGAACTTGTAGGACTTAGAAAGTAAACTTTTCTCTACAAGTCTTACCTGGTGCTTAGTAAACTCTTGGTTCCATCTCTCTTTCGTCCAAGATGCATTCACTTCTAGGTTTGAGTATTCCCCAACCTTGAGATCTGAATGAGTTCTGACCGCTGACACTTGTTGAGGAACCTGGTTCGCTGATTACAAACACAACACTCTGTGTGAGAAGTCTTGCCTAGTTGGCTCTCTGAACAGCTAGTGACCAACAGTTATGAAACTCCTTGCAGCCCTTACACCTAACCCCTAGCTTTTTAGACAGCCAATTTAAAATCACAGTTCCAAAGTCATTCTCTGAAACACACAAGACTTGCCACTTGACCTTCTGGTGCTCACTCCAAAGAACCTTATGGCACCTTTCTTCCTCCCCAATGGTTTCTTCCAATCTAAAACAAACCCTTCCAGGCTGGAAGAGCAACCACTCCAGACCCACCTCTCCTGCTTTTCTCAGTACAACCAGATTATCTCAAGGAGAAATGAGACCACCTTGCATGTATTTAAAGTACAGTTACAGTTACACTGAGCCAGTCTACAAAAAGGGGAAGGACTGACATGGTTATCTGAGGACCTATCAGCCTCGGTTCACAATTTCTTTTTTATGTCGATGTCTAATCGCAAACATAAAAATCTGTATTTTAAACTTACTGAATAACCTATTTTTTAAGAGTCATATAAATTTCTTTCACAAAAGAATAAGTCAAGAATGTATGTACCTCACAAACAAGCACATACTTTGGGATAAGCTAAAACATCAAAACAAAAATAACCATCACTTAGATTAGATCATGTTCCTAAAGTAATTCATTCAAAAGAAATGCAGAATCAGAGCAATTAAAAGAAGTACTGTGAAGAAACAAAATGATACTTCTGCTAGCAGAGCTTCAAAAAGCACATTACTGTATTTGTCTCTTCACTTTCAATAATTTAACTTAATAACAACCACTGAGACAATCTGATTACACATAAAATCTCATCTAATTTCTTCCACGCAATATGATAAAACAATTTTTAATTACCAGAGTTGACCAAGAACACAGTCCTTTTTCCATTTCGGCTGAAGTCTCCCCTGATCTGATAGGACAGCTCTTTAGTGAGTAGTACTGCAATAAATGTCTTCCCTGAGCCAGTATTTAAACAGACGATGGTATTATGATCCAGAGCTGCTTCAAGCAGTTCAACCTAGAAATATGGTGGAAAAAAAAAATCACATACTTGTACCTAAGTACAAAATTTAGAAAACTGGATTCTATTTTAAACCAGGAAATTTCACTATTTTCTAAAAATCTTCCTTCAATAACTTTGGCCAAAAAAAAGAGAAAAACTTGTATGCCTTTACATAAGAATAATAATCAGAAATAAAATGCTTACTACATATAGCTGTGTTGAAAATACCTGTTGAGGGGTCATGTATAATTTCTTCATTTAAGAATTACTTTTTGCACAGAATACTTCTGTAGAATAATATGAATGACTAAACTTACAATTATTGTAGTTCTGCCAGTTCGAGGTAAAGTATTCCCAAACTAATCTCAGTTCCTACCTGGATCATTAGAACAGACACAGCCAAATGGATATTAAGGAAGAGTGAGTTCATAGAGAAGAAAACAAGAAACTTTACAAACAGAACTAACAAATAATTACCCAGCAGATGTTAGAGAAGGACTATTAAGAACAAGTGTTTTGAATGAGAAAATTAATCAGAAAAGGGAGGCTTGGAGAAGGGTAAATGAGTTTTATAAGTCATGTCAAATATATGCTAATTTATTCCATTTTAGTGACAATGCTCCAGTATTAGTGTTTTCATTAGTACCTGATATTTTCTTGGCGTATAAATGTTATCATGAATTGCTTCTTGTTGCCATGGCAGTCCAAAGAAAGGACCCATTGGTGAGGAAGCAGGGGTCATGAGCTGCAGGCCTGCCATGCTGAGGGGTTGCAAAGCAGGGCTTTTCATTCATCCAGTGTTTCTTTCATTGCATTTTTGTTCTAGCACAGCTTACTACAAAAGGGAAAAAGAATACCATTACACAACCATGCAGGGTTAAAACAAAAGAAAGCACAGAAACAAGAGAAACATCAGAATATCATTTCCAGAGGCCTTTTGAAACTTTTCCTATAGTTGTTTTAGCTTTCACTTACTCTTAAGAGGATTGTTTTTAAAAGTCAAGCATTCTATACCTGATCCAGAAGTTCTATAGTTAGAAATGTCTTGAAAGAATTAGATTGCATAAAAGTACATGCTGTTGTAATATTATCTAAAAAATAAGGACTTTAAAATCTATTAGTAGAAAACTGGCTAAATGATGTATAGCTAATGATATACTTTAACTCTTAAGATTATAATGTCAGGGCTGGGGATTTAGCTCAGCGGCATAAGCACCTGCCTTACAAGCAGGCAGTCGTGAGTTCTATCCCTGGTACCGATAAAAAGTTAAAAAAAAAAAAGATTATAATGTGTATCTTACATTAACAGTGTCCAATGTCCAAAATATGCTTTTAAAACATGTACAGTATGTCTTAAGTATGTACATATATACAAGACCATACATATATAAAATATATTAAAGCAAGTAAACACATGAATATAAATTGTACGATGTTATTACCGATAGAATAATGACATACATGGGAACATGCTTAGCATTGTGCCTACATCACAGGAAAAATATGAACACCTGAACTAATTGTGTCATCTATAAAAGGCCATGAACACAGAAGGTGTTTCACTCAACTAAAAGTCTATCACAACTGGACACTGACCAACTATTTAGATGCAGATCTTTGAAACTATAAATATCCTAGATAAATTCAAGTATACCATTCTGTGAAATGAACATTTTTGATGTTAGCTAAGCACTCTTCTGCATGTCATATATTTTTTCTACATTTTTGTTGTGTAAGATGACAAAATAAAAAATGGATTTCAAAAAATTCCTAATCAGAACAGAGAGCCCGGGTTTCAAATCTCTGTAGAAGGAAGTCCACCACCAGCATTCTGGACGGTCAGCACAACGTAGCACGCAGTTTTCTCCCTTAGCTGCTTTGAAGTGTTCACTACCATCACTCTGGGCAACTAGAGAATCCAACTCTTTGTTCCCTGACAACAAGCTTTCTGACTCTCCCTGACATGGTGCATTTAAACCATCATACAAAACATGATTCAGGTGTTGTATCCAATCCAATGAGAAGTCTTTGTATAGTCTATTTCATGCCTAGGCGCAATGCTCAACTCTGATTTCAGAGATTAATTCTGTTGACAAGAATAATATCCAGCTACTGCAACATGCTCTCTCAAGAGATGGTCTGGAGTACGTTGCTGCAGGCGCTGAGGACCCCTTAAGAAAGCTGCCTGTAACCATTCTCCCTCTTTCTCACAGGAAAGTGGTATGCAGAGTACAACTGAGTGCTTTATAAGAAACCAACACGCTATGATTTTCCCTGCACCTAAGAAACTACGTTTACTTTCTACTGAGCCGGTCCCAAAGACCACTGTTCGCCCTCTGCGCCTGACATCCACGTTTCCAAAACCCACAGGCCCTCAAGATTTGCAGGTTCACCAGCCCAACTTTTTCTCAGCAACAGCTACCAGTAAGTCCCTGTGGAAGTCAAGCTCCAACTTTGGGGAGCCAACGGGCCACGCTGAAGGTCCGAGACTAAGGCAGGCACTTGCTCCCACTTTCCTGCCTGGCTACCATTTTCATGCGCTCTCTACATCTCCACAACCACAGTTGCTCACTGTCTAAGGCGATTTGCCCTGCAGTCTGACCGCTTCCTTTCAACATTAATCCAGATCTGCCAAATGAGTGGGAAGGCATCGGGGAAGATGTCATCAGGACAGAAGGGAACATAAGGGGAAGGAGAAAAGAGGGAAAGGATGCAAGCAGCCAACACACCTTCCCCTACTTCCACAAACTAGGCACACCTGGGAGCCAACAGCACCCCTCCTTCTCTCCCACTAGTGCCATTTCTTCTCCTCTAGGTAATGTCAGGAACAATCCTGGAAAGTAGTCTACAAAATAAATGAAATGGGGGCTGGGGATTTAGCTCAGCGGCATAAGCGCCTGCCTTGCAAGCAGGCAGTCGTGAGTTCGATCCCCGGTACCAATAAAAAGAAAAAGACAAAAAATAAAAAAATAATAAAATAAATGAAATGAGTATACTTTGGGCGGGGGGGGGGTACTGACGATCAAACTCAGGACCTCACACTTGCCAGCCAGGAGCTTACACCATTTAGCTAAATTCTCAGCCCAGGTATTATTTTTTAAAGGGGGAGGGCTGTAGTTTTCAAAACTATCAGTATCAGCTAAGCATGATGTCACATGCTTGTAACCCCAGCTCTCTGAGAAGTTGTGGCAGGAGATCAGAAGTTTGCGTCTAGCTTGGTCAACTTAGTGACATCCTGTCTCAAAAAAAGACTAGGGCTGTAGCTCATTGTGAAGGTCCTACGTTCAATCTCCAGGACTATACACACACACACCAAGAAAAGGTGTCATAAAACACAAACTATGAAAATGTCACAGTCTAACGAGGCATGACAACTAAACATAACTGATCGAGGATGGAATTTTTCCCCCCTTTTTAAGACAGGGTCTCACTATGCAGTTAACACTGGCCTTGAGTTCACTTTGTAGCCCAGGCTGGTCTGGAACTTGCAATGATTCCCATGCCTCGGCCTCCCAAGTGCTGGGATTATAGGTGTGTGCCACCATACCCAGCTTCTCATTGAGATTCTGTACTAAAAAACAATGCCATACAGGATTTTGTAAAGCAACTACATTAACTCAGTATGCTGTTTTGATACACACAGTGAATTGTTACAGTCAAGCTAATTAACACATTTACCTCCTCCCATAGTTACCTGTTTTTGGTGTGGTACGAAATCTTTCAGAACTACTTCCTTAGCAAATTCTGGTATACAACACGTACAATTGTTACTAACCACTAAGCCCTTGGGTTGTACATTAGGTTTCTAGAACTTATTTTTGTAATAGTACTCCTTAATCAGTATCTCCTTGTCTCTTCACTTGCATCATCCTCCTATATCTAATCATCATCATTCTATTCTCTGCCTGCAAGAATTTTACTTTCATAGATGTCACATGGAAGTGCAAACATGCACTATTTATTTTTCTATGGCTGACTTATTTTACTTAGCATAAAGTCCTAAATGTTCATCTATGTTAGCACAAATGGCAAAATTGCCTTCCATTCTAGAGCTGAATATTCCAGAGTCTACATGTATATGAGAGACCATCTGAGGACACAAACTTAGACTGTTTCAATATCTCAGTGGCTATGAATATGATGTAACAAACACTCATGTGCAAATGTCTCTTAGAGATACTGATTTCATTCATAAAGAATATTTTGTTTTTTTGTCTTTTTCGTTTTTATCGGTACCAGGGATCGAACTCACGACTGCCTGCTTACAAGGCAGGCACTTATGCCGCTGAGCTAAATCCCCAGCCCCATAAAGAATATTTTTGAATGTGCTTTTAAACTGTACATAACAGCAATGTTAAAATTCCTTAAAGCTGACATCCTTATTCTAGGGAATTACATACTTAAATATTTAGGGGGAGAAGGTCATAATGTACCAAACTTACTCTTGAATAGTTGAGAAAAAGAAGCTACATATAAAAGAAGAGAAATTGATAAATGAGGTCAAATGGGTAAGAGAGAGATAAGGTAAGATCAAGAAGTACAGAGAATGTTTACTTTTAAAAAACTTATTACAGTAAAAGACATATTGCCACTAATTCCCTCCTTTAAAAAAAATCTTTCTTTGAAAACACTTATGCGGTCATTCTTGGCACTTTTCCAAAGCAGTTCTGGAAGTCTTCTTCTGTTTCTTTCATTGGACTATCGTGGCTACCATGTCCTAACTCAATTAAAAACATTTACCTTCCATGGCCATTTTGACTTTGGGGAAGAGTCCGAATTCGCATGGAGACCAATCTGTTGAACAGGGTGCACAGGGACACACCATAATGTTTTCACCAGCCTGCTTTTCTACTTGGCAGCAGCACTCACATTTTTTTGATCATGCCCTGTGAAGACACTCACGAAAGAGGGCTTTCAGAACTGCTTCAGAAAATGGCAGGAATGATGGAATAAGTATGTCCAAAGTAACTATTCTGAGGGGTTTAATGGTAGTGCGCCTTTACTGTAATAAATGTTTTACATATAGATTAACCATACATTGCGATCACTTCTCATACTTTTTATTCTAATTTTTGCAGCCTTTTCCTTCATTTTCTGAATAGCATTCCTGTGTATGTTTATGTATCTACATTCATCTACTGACAGACATGGGTTGTTTAAATTGGCCATTGTGAATAATGCTGCAATAAACACACAGGTGAGGGCATCCATTAGAGATACTGGTCTCAGTCATGACGGGTATTATTGAACCTTTTAAACTTCAGATTGTAATTTAAATACTCCGTTCCTTTATATCTCCAAAGCACAATTACAATGGATCCTCTCTCAATTACCACTTGTACTTACGCCACAAAAACAGCTGGTGCCCAAGTCTGTGTAGTCTTAGTCAAACAACAGCTCACTGAATTCATCAAGGATCCAGCTTCTTATTTTCTACCAGTCACCCAGCCCTAAGCCCGTGGGCACATGACTCTCCCTGGGCCAGCAGAGCGGGTTCATGCTAGTACAATGGCAAAAAGTTAGGACTTACATTTGGTGACAAAAAATAAATTCTTACTCTCCCTATGAACGTGGTACAAGAAATTATCAGCCCCATCTACTGCTCAAATTACCCTAGCCTTTGCAGAAGCCCAGCCTTAAAATAACTCTAGCACTGCAGACAGTAAAAATTAGAGAAATTGCGTTTTTGCTAATATCAATGATCTGCTGGGCTGCTGGATCTACCAACCTTAAAAACCCAGCCTCAATTATATGAGCCAACAAATTCCCTGATTATACAAGCTAGCCTGAAATTTCTGAGACTCATGAACAAAACAAGTAAGTTAATACCCTAAA